AATTATTAAGATTTATTACCCCCTCATTTGATGGGGTAATAAATAGTGAGAGGATAATTAATAGTGAAGGCAATTAAGTAAATACTTCAATTACAGATCTGAAAAACAAAGAAACTGAAGAGATTAATCAATTTCTGGGCAAAATAGTTGTGTTTACTCAGTTGGAATATGAGGATCTGATGGTTTGTCTGGGATTAAAAGAGAATATGGAAAATAAAATTGAAGAAGAGGAAGAAGAAAATAAAAATAAATTAAAAATAAATAAAGAAAAAATAATAAAAAATAAAAAGAATAAAAATAAATTAATTAAAATAAAATCTAGTAATCGAAAAAATAAAAAGGATAAAGCTAACAAGAAAATAAATACAGCTTTTATTTATAAAAATTTTAACAAAAATAAAATTGAAGAAGAAAAGGAAGGGGAAGAAGATGTGGAAGGAAAACAAGAAAGCGTAGAAGAGGAGGACGAAGAAAATGAAGAAGAGGAGGAGGAGGAAGGAAGTGAAAATTATTTAACGGAAGTATCTGAAAGTGGATCAACAGAAAATAGCAATTCAATCATTTCGACTAATTTATTTAGTACTGAAAGTAATTCTAATAGTGAAGTTGAAGAAAAGGTTGATGAAATCAAGGATAAAAAGAAGGTAAAGGATATTAATAGTAGTAGATCATGATTTTTTCAATGTCAGATTTGGTAGGATTCAGGGATTTTTGGAATTAGACTTGGGATACATGCCTCTTTTAAATTACCTGATATTTATTTTAATAAAAATTATTTAAAAATAAAATTGAGAAAAATCGAGAAATATATTTATATTTTTAGGGTTCATTCAAAAATAAAATAGAAATTAATGATTGGCTGGAATCAGTCAATTTGGCAATATTTGGCTATGATTTTAACCGAAATATTAACACACAATATTTAACGATGGAAAATAGTAGTAGCTATTCTCAAGAATCTTTTGATTATGTTACTAAAGCGGTAATTTAAAAATAATTAGCTGTGAAAGGTTGTGGAAGTATTGAGGGATTTTTAAAGATATATTTGAAAGATAAATAATGTTTTTTCTAATTATTTAATCTTTAGTTAAGTGAAGTGATTAATAATGAACAATATATGTTTGAGAAACACAATAACAAAATAGTATACGGAATGAATGATTTAATGAGAAGAAATTTTGTAGACAATGCAATAAATTATTTAAAACAGATTTTAAATAAATGGGTAAATATTTGAATTTTAAGAAATAATTATTATTTAATTTTCTAAAAAAAGGATCAAGATTCTCGTTTAATTATTTCTGGCTCACTTTTATTAAATGCCCAGATTTTTGATTCAGACATTGATTGCCTTGTTGTTTTACCTAATAAACAAATAGAAATTAATAATTGGGAAATTATTTTTGAAGAAAAATTTTTTGGAAAAATTTCTAATAAATGTAACATTAAATTAGGAAAATGTGAGGAAGAGATGGATAATTCTCTTTATTGTTTACTTTGTAAAGTATGTTAAAATTGTTTTTAATTGTTTACTATTAGAGAGATTTAATTCGTTGAGAATTAATTTGGTAGTTAGGGTTTTTGGTGTCGTCGATGAAGAGCTCATTAGCTCATGAAGGGCTCGATGAAGGGCTCATGAGCTATGAGATGAAGACTCACAGCTCATTAGCGTAGATGGATCAAGGTTGTCCAAAATATTAGGTCATAAAATTCGTAATCCAGTGTCTGCAATCTGGGTATATAATGGGCAACTGGGAAGATAGCGGATTTTGAAAGGGTGGTTCTAAGGGATATTAGTTTGGAGGAATATCGGGGATTTGAAGAGATTAACTAACGACGACATCGACGTCTGACAACGACTACGTTTGTCGACATTATTTTAAAATAAATATTCCTTACCCTACTAAAAAATATTGTTCCTAGTTTTTTTTTAAATTTTTTTCCTCTCCTAATTTTATTTTTTTCAAAGGATGTCAGAATTCAATTTATCAAAAAAATTCCTGGTCGAGTACCTTTAATTAAAATTAATTTTCTTGGTTATGATTTTGATTTCATTTTTATTTTATTTTCAAAAAATTTATTTAACCAATTTAATTCAATTTATCAAAACAATAAACAACCAAAAATAAATGAAATTGATGATATTATTGCAAAATTTGTTTTTGAATTGGGGGGACCTGAAGAAATAAATAATCGAAATAATAAACATTTTGGAATGGTTTTGGCACTTTCTGGTTATTTTTTGTTGAAATTTTTAAAATAAATATTTATTTATTTAAAGGTTATCGTTCAAATTTACAAATAAATTTAATGACAGAATACAACAAACATTCATTCCATTTAGCATTATTAACACTTAAAGTTTGGGCGAAAAGTAAGTTGTAAAACTTAGGTAATAATAAAATTTTTGTTTGACAAACAAGCTTTATTAAGTATTTATTTTTAAAATCACTAGGCAAGCAACGATCCTGCGTCCTCCTGGCAGTTATTTATTCCCATACCCTTTCTAGGCCAATTTGGCTTACATGCGCCTTAACTTATAACCAGATGGATCTCCTTCCTTCTTTACATTATTTAAGAAAATTTAAAAAAAACTAAACCGTGTTTCATAGTTAAATCGAGACATATTTTCGTCAAAATTTTAGAGGCATCCATCATTCATTCCCCTGAAGCCCTACCCTCTTCCTACAAACTCTACATAAAAATCTAAAATCTCCAAATATTTTTTAGATAATCACATTTATGGAACACAATATGGTTTCTTTGGAGGTCCAGCTTTGTCAATAATTCTTTGTTATATTTTAAATTTATATGGGAATAATGTTCCCCCTCCAATTTTTATTTTATTAAAAAATACTTTAGAATTATTTACTTTTAGGTAATTATTAAATAAATTAAAAAAAATTATAATTTCTTTAAAAAAGATTTTGGAATTCACCATTAATGTTAGAAATTCCTCAAAATTATTTAAATATTCGAAATTTGTTAGATTGGAATTTAAATAAAGAAGCAGAAAATCGTTTAAAATTAATTCCAACAAATTTACGTAATTATTTAATTAAACATTCACAAATTATTTGGCCAATTATAACCCCTGGTTTTCCTACACAAAATGTTTTGTTTAATATTAATGATTCTACTTCACAAATAATAGAGAGGGAAGTACATAAAGGATTACAAAAATTGGTGATGTTACAAGATAACATTAATCAAAATAAACCTTTATGGACTGTTAAAAATCTTTGGGGAAATTTTTTGAAGAAAGAAGAAAAGTTTGAAGAAAAGGTTTCTTTAATTTTTTGTCAAAAGAAGGTTATAGCTTTGATTTAGGATGGTTGGCGGATTCAGATCCGAAAAACTTTAGTTCGAATATTGGTTCTGGGTATCTAGTTAATTCCCAGGATACGCTAACCCGATTTAAGACGCCTATCACGTGAGGGTGTTTATTACGTTCGCTTTATGCCCCATAACATTTTTCTGATTATGGACGATAGTTTATTTATGACGAATTTAGAAGCCTTCTAAACTAACCAAAATTTGGATAAATAGGAAGGTTTAAAGGATTAAAAAAATGTTAGGGTTCCAAAGTCTCTATGAAATAAGAAAGTCCTATGATCGCGCATCCTCTCATTCTCATACACAGGACATGTCCTAAAAAAAGAATCTCCAATTAATAACATTAGCTATAGGTTCCGAATGCACTATCATTAAAAAAAAGAATTTTTGACGCAAAAGTGGGCGTACTACCCCTTATGGTTTTCAATTTTCGAGGTACACAGGCATTTACGCAATTATCCCCCTAAAATCATCAAAAATGCACGATTTTCGGATATTCCTAATATCATTCCGTTCACTAAATTAAAAATTTGAAATAGAAAACATATTAATTAATAAATTTTAAGTACAAGCATTATTTGTGTATTGTGTGTAGTTATTCAAGTAAAAGTGAATATGGTTCTGATTTTTGTGATTTTGTTGGAACCAGAATTAGATTACAATTATTATTTTCTATAGAAATATTGCCGTTTATTTCTTTTTGTCATTTAAATCCAAAAAAATTAAAAAAAGAAAATGAAAAATGTTTTTTAAAAGAGGGAGAAGGAAATAATTATTGTACAATTTGGTTAGTAGGGATTTCAACAAAACAATGGTATAAACAAAAATTTGAAGGAAATGATTGGGAAAATGCTTTAAAAAATTTTGTATATTATATTGAACATTTTGGGTTTAGAAAAAAATATCCAGAAATTTCAGCAAAAGAAGGGGGGAATTTATTTAATTTAAATGTTTTTTATTTAACTGGTGAACAAGTAAAGAATAAATGGAATTTGTGAAAGAATTTTTATAATCTAGTATGTACATATTTGTTTTGTATTTTATATTTATGTATTTTATAAATTTATTAGTTTTTCTAAAAAGTTTCTCTAATCCTCTTAAGCGTTGCAGGCGAAACTCCTTGAATTTTTGTGGGCCAAGATACATATGTATATCCTCTGATATCCCTTCACAGAATATTTTTAAAATACCCGTTAATTATAATAGTTCCAAAAAGAGGCTTTAATTTTTTGAACTATATTCTCTTCAACATTTTTTAAATTTTTTTCTAAAAATTTTTCCCTAAAATTTTCAAAAATTAATTCAGAATTTTTGATTTTTTTACATTTTTTTATTCCGTATATTTTTATCTCAACTAATTTTATAACAAAACATAGTCAATAAAACATTCATTTTTATTGAAATAAATAAATAGAAAATTCATCTCTCTGGGAATGTCTTGTAAGATCAAAATCAGTCAGGCCTCACGTGTAGGGATTTAAAATTCAGTTTATCCCTGGATGGGAGAGGCTGGATAGGCGATACACCCATTTTTAAGGATTTTAAGGTAGGTAATTATTTTTTACTCCCAAAGGGTGTACCTACAAGTGAGGTCTGCCTTTATAATAAATATAAAAAAATTTTTTGTTTAAAAAATTTTCGCTCAAAAAGATTTGTTTGCCTTCTTAAGGACTAAAATCATGCTCACAAATTGTTGAAATATCCTCACTCATTTCCACCTCTTCAGTAACTTGAGAATTACTCGAAACAGCTTGAAGCCATTGAACTTCGCGCTCTTGACTTGCTCTAGGTGTTGAAGTAACAATACGTTCTGGGTCAAATCCTCCGCGTTCATGAAATGAAGAATCCATTGTATCGTTGAGAGAACTTGCGTCAGTTGTAGTACGGTGTCCAGTTCTACCGAGACGTTCTCTTTTAACAATTTGTATGCATTCACTAATTTTTTGTAAAATAGGCACATCATTATCCTTTAAATATTAAATTAAAATTATACTGGGAAAAAAAGTAATTTAATATTTTCGGCGATATTGTCGTCCTCATTTTTCCACTTAAATTCGTTGCTAGGTTCTATAGTTAATTTCGAATTTTTTAATATTTTCAGGACCTAAGGCAACCGAGTCTGTGACCATCCGGAGGCTATTGGCACTCATAGGGTGAAACCCAAGTAGGCGCGTGGACATAACGGCGCATAACTTGCTTCAAGATTTCCGAATCTTAACAAATTTAGTATTAAACGATTCCTCTCATCGAGCTAAAGAAATTGGTACCAAAATTGATAACGTGTCGACGCAGAAGACCCACAGACAGAAGACCCAAGGACAGAAGACCCACAGGCAAAAGACCCACAGACAGAAGACCCACAGGGACAGAATACCCACAGACAAAAGACCCACAACTATTTTTCAGTTTTATTGTGCATGAATTTTGGTGCGAGGGATGTTGTTAATTTTATTAGTTTTCCCTGATAAGAGGGTGATCCAACAACGGGAAAAGTTGTTTCTATATTAGCGAAAGACGTTCCAATAATCGGGAAGGGTGTTCCAGCAATGTAAAATGTTGTTCCAATAACGCGGATGTTATTTTAACAATGGGCATGTTTGTTGCAAAAACGGGACAAGTTGTTCCAACATGGGAATCTCGTCCCAATGTCAGGGGAGCTTTTTTAACAAAAGTGGATCTTGATTTTTCGGATTTTCAGGATTTTTAATCCGGTCCAGGTCGTGTCAAAAAACATAATCTAATCGGGTTCAGATATAAAAATGATATAAAAATAGCTAATTGGCCTTCCAAAATTTTCCAAAACTTAATACCCCTTGATTTAAGATTAATACCCCATGATAAAAGATTAACTAATACCCCTTTTATACTTCTATATCCCTCCACATGTAGGGATATAGGATTAGAAGTGGCCAAGGGTATTGGAGATATGCAAGGATGTCGTGGATCATCGGTATTAGCAGAGATTAAGTAATTATTTCTGAGTAAAATGGAGGGATATCACTTGATAAAATTGGATTAGTATCATTAAAAAATCTTAAAAGGTTTAAATCCGTTTACATCCCTTTAAATCTTCTGACATACCCGATTTTCTGTTAAAAAGAGATATTGGAGTATCCTTCTCCCGCTTCCTGTTCAAACAATTTACGGATAAGAATAGACATCGGTGAATTTGAGGGGTTTTTACCCCTATATCGTCTAAATCCCACGCTATTCCTACATATCCCAATTAATCACCCGACTCTTCAATCCACTTTTCATTAATCAAACATTATTGATTAATTTTGAAATAAATTTTTTTTAATATTTTAAAAATATTTTTTTAAATCTTGTGCCTAGAAAAATAGACTAGTCTTTTCAAAAATTTCAGAAAATTTCTTTTTAAGTTTTGGTTAAAATATTATTCTTGTGGGTCTTTTGTCTGTGGGTATTCTGTCCCTGTGGGTCTTCTGTCTGTGGGTCTTTTGTCTGTGGTTCTTCTGTCCTTGGGTCTTCTGTCTGTGGGTCTTCTGTCACTACGCCATTGATAAGGGCCAGGAAAGTTCTAGCAAGTTATGGCTTTGCGCCGTTATGGCCGCGTGCCTGCGTGTCCCGTACTCTTAATTGCCCCGATATACAAAAATTTGTAAAATTCAAAGGATAAGTTCAGAACGGCAACGAACGTCACTTATTACCCATTCCTTCATCCCAAAAAATTTTTTTATCAAAAAAATAAATTCAATAAACTTACATTATCATCAACTTTATCCTTCATAATATCCTTCACTTTGTCTCCAGTCTCCCCAATTTGTTCTTTAATACTTTCTGACAGTGCACGATCAGCATGAGTATATTTAAATTGTGTATTTGTGTCAGTATTTGAGTATTCTTCTAATTGTTTTCCCATAATACCTTCAGAGATTATTGTTAAACATTTTTTGAATTCACAATTTCCATAAAATCTATTAACCTACAAAATTTTTTTAATCAGAAAATAATATTTTTAAATTTTCTAACCATTTCATCAACAGTAGAAACATCATCAGTTCTAGGTCCAAGAAATTGAATAATCGAATCATCCACATTTACAGCCTTTTTATCTTCTCTTTTGACTCGCACAAAAATCTATTTTTTAAATTAAAGACTTTTTGTTTAAATTAAAAAATAAAATGTCCTAAAGATTTCTCGACTTTTTAAGGAATACCCTTTCCTTGTTCTAAAACTATTAATCCAAAATGAAAAATACATTAAAATTAGGAGGGCACGATCCGGCCCAGTCAGAAAGATCGAGTCGGGCATCAAATTTTGGCCCAAAAAGACCCGGTCGGGCCGGCCCGATAAAAATTAAGCACGAAAAAATAACTCTAACGTCAGCCCGACTCGAAAACACCAAAACCCTAATTAAACAGTTGAGGACCCCCTCTCTCATTTATTCCACTAAAAATATTTTAAAAAATTGTAACCATTTCAGTAGCATTAGCAACGCGATCCATATATTTAGCCCCAAATTTTCGGCCATTGATAGGCTAAAATAAAAATTTTATAAATTTTTATATTCGATGAGAAAGGCATAGAATATTCAAATTTTATTTTTTTTTCTGCAAATGTTAGCGGCAAAAAATTAATTTGTCCATTTCTAATAATTTAAGCTAATTTCATTATCACTTGGGGTGGGAAAAATCGTACCCTAAAATAAATGTTAAATTTAGGACAGATCACCACCCAATAATCAATTAAATTTTAACAAATATCTTAAATTTTAGTCTGGCTAGACATAATAAATTTAAACAAATTTACCGGAATATTCAACCATTTTCCAGAGTAAACAACTTTAAGTCGGACACGTGGTGGAAAAGGTCTACTAGGTTCGCGCGCAATCTCTGCCGATTCCAACATTTGTTCAATTTTATCTTCTATAAGTTGTTCATCCTTTAAAAAATTATTAATTTTTAAAAATTATTTTTTATATTAAACCTTCATATTTTTTTGTCGAATAGTTGTTTTTGAAATTTTTGCAGAAGGTTCAGCTTCATTTAAATCAAGTTCATCAATTATTAATTGCCTAACAGTCTTCATTTCAATCTTTTTTAATTTAAATTGTTTTCTATGTACTGACCTTAAAAATGAAGAATTTTTTTTAAATCGTTCAACCATCAACAATCCACATCAATTATAACTTTTACGATGATAATAGGGTGAGAACATCGTACAACTCTGACAAGAAAGTTGAGGATATTTAATAGGAAAACGAAAAATGGGACAACGTCTATCTCAAAGACATAAACATTGTCATAGAAGGCCTTCCACCAAATAAGGCCTCCAAAATTCTCAAAATTTAAAGCGCAAAAAATCATAATTTTAGGCACCTTAGGGCCAAACATTCGGAGCCTAAAATTATCCCCACATGCCCCCCACCCCTAAAAAATTCCTGACTACGGTCTTGGTTATAAGCTTTTCAGTAGATTAGGTTATGTGAGATAGAAGGCCGCACCCCTTACAAATATTTAATTTCAACCAGAACCCAACCCTTTGTCAAAATATTACTTTAAAATTCATGAAAAATACTTATAAATATTAAAAAATTTCTGAAAAAAATTACATAATTCCAATATGCTTCCTTTTTGCTTCTTCAGTACTTAATGCAGTAGCAACTGTACTTCCTGGTTGAATAATATAAAAAGATTTGTTTTGTCCATTAACGTCAAAAGATTTGAAATCTGGATCTAAATTTTTTAAAATAAATTAAAATTAATTAATTAAAAAAACCAATAAGGCACTCATGTTCATGACCCCAAATAACAACATCAAAAAAATCGGGAATACATTTGAATGAAACATGTGATTTTGTACTTCGAAGTTTGCTACGAGGAGGACGATTCTGATGAAGAACAAGAATATAAAACCAATCATCATCTTCCGGACGTTTGAATTTTATCTTTCCTTCTAAAAACATAATTTCTTAAAATCATTTAAAGAATTAAAATGATTGTGGACTTTAGAGATCGAGCTGGACCTGGACCAAGGCAGAGGTTTTTCATGTATCCAGAGTTCCAGACCCAGGCATTTTTGACCTTCCTGGGTTTTTCCTGTACTACAGGCCCAGGTCAATAAATCAAACCCAGAGTTCAGAAAAAGGTCCAGGCTTTTCAAAAATCTCGATCTCTAGTGGACCTTTAACGATGTAGTTATAGTTAAAAGCTAAAAATAGTCCTTAAAGGTCCTAAAAATTAATTTGGTATGATATGAATTATGTAAAAGATTCCAATTATTTTAAACAAAAGAGAAATCTTAAAATTAAATTACTCGAAAAAGCCCGCGCCAAACGATCGTCACGCTGACTTCCAATCCCATACAAAGCAATTTTGGTACATCCTCGTTTTAAAAGAATTGGTGCAACTTCAAGCTAAATTTAATTAATTTTAATTTTCTATTTTTAAATCTAACAAACATGATCTAAATCAGAATATTTTCCAAATAAATTTAAAAGGCCGGATTCGTGAAGAACATCGAGAGCTGATAAACCCTTAAAAATAATAAAAATCATAAGATTAAATTAGTTTTGCAGAAAATCCGCAAATTACCCGGAAATTTATGAAAATACTTATTTAAAACAGAAAAAGCAAATTTTGAAAAAATAAAAGATTAAAATCAAAAAGCGAGAAACAAACGCAAAATTGACGTGTTAATTTTACGCCTGACCCAATGATTTCAAAGTCGCTCGCGCCGATGAGAATGAGGCAATGGCAAATCCCATGATTTTCGAAAATGGGTAAGATTTTTCAGATTACCCAAAGACCCCAATCGGACACTAAAGTACGCCCTTAATAAAGCGGAATATTAAGTAAACAGTAATTCGGGGTTTTAGGCAGATAAGCTCTAAGGTCGGAAAATAGTTTGAGATCTACGGATACCCGGATCCGATATCTGAACCGCAAATTTCCGGATATCCTCCCTTTTCCCGATACGGATTCACCATCCTTAATAAGCACTATAAAAGCCAAATAAAAAAAATTTTTAATCCAACAAACCTTCCCCGACAAATCATCATGATTTCCATGAATAGTAAATATAGGCACTGTAATACACAAATTGTCGTCCAGATAATTCACTGAAGGAAAGTTGCTGTGTTGGAAGTTGATTGTTGGATCGGAAACAAAATCCAAGTCAGGCTTTTCCCCTTTAGTGCAATAAGTCCGCAAAAGACGAACAACTTTAAGCTGTGTTTCACGTGATGGGTGGTTCTCATGGAAAAGATCTCCAGCTAAAAAAATAATTTGAAAATTAAAATTTTTAATTAAAAAAATACCCAATAAAACAAAATCAACTTTGGCTTCTTTTGCATTTGAAAGAACTTCGCGTAAAGATTCAAAAGAATCATTTCCGATATATTGCTTGTTTTCTCCATATCCTGCATGAATATCAGAAGCAATTAAAAATTTAATAATGTCAGAATCGAGCACCATTAATAAGGAAATTAAATAGTCTGAAAATAAATTGATATCTTGATTAAGACGCAAATTTACAACATAAAAAATGTTGCTAAATAAGTTCGACAGTGACTAAAATCGACAGTCAACTATTTTTCTTTTTTTTTCCGTTTGTCTCGAGTTCACGCCTGTGGCTAAATTCAACAGATAAAGCGAAATCTTTAATAAATGCTACTTGTGAAAAAAAAAATTTTCGGTAAAGGTTTAAAGTCGCCGATTCGGTGCGCCGACATTTACGCCGTTGCCTTTTGCGCCTCGACCTTTGCGCCTCGACATTTGTGCCGCCCTGACCTAAAAATAAAAATACGATTAACAACTAGGCTGTGCGCTAAAATTTTTACGTGGGTCTGCCAAATGCCAACGCAATTTTTCAAAATTTTAAAATCGTCAAAACCAAAACGCCAAAAATCCGCCAAAAGTGATTTTTTGGCGTATTTCAAAAAGGATGGCGTAAATTAAAATTTTGAAAAACGCGAAAATTTTGGTGCATAGCCCTGTTGTTAACCACATCTTTATTTATTTAATTTTTAAGTCAATTCAGCCTTGATACAGTCCGAGTAAATCATTTATGATTCGAAAGCCCTCGAAAAGTGGTATTTTTTCCATTTGTATAGATAAACTCAGATCACTCATAGTGCTTTCAAATTGCGAATAGCAAAAGATCCTAAAATAAATATGTTAAATCTTAATTTGATCTTCTAAAATATTTTCATCATGAATTTTTAATATTCTTTATCGAATTATTTAATTTATAAAACTTTTTCTTTTGTTTTTATTAAAATTTAATTTAATATTGATCAATTAACACATTTAAAACAATAGAAAAATGTTTTTGATATTTTTCTTCTAAATATTTTAAAAGTACACAAAATTAAATTAAGAAATTGAATTTTTCCTTTTAAATAAATGATCTGTTAATTTAAAAGTAAGGGTATATAAATAAATATTTTTATTTTAAATAAATTAATTTAATTTAATTAAAAAAAAATTTTTTTTTATTGGGAAAGATTAACTAGTTTCCTCTCTAAAAAATTTTTTAAATTGATATTTTTGTTGTTGTTCTATTAATCTCGATCACCAATATCGAATGGTTTCTTTCTAGATTTTTTTTCTAGGTTTCTTTCTAGACCTCCCGTTTTCTTTTTTTCGGGTTTAAGTCAAATAAAAATGTTCTCTTTTCCATTACACTAAATTGCAAAGGCAAGTGCCATGTTGTCCACATGAAAATTTTCCCATGCCAAATGCCAAAAATTCTCCTCTTAGTCTAGACAACTTTTTTAATAGGAGGAATTTTAAAATATCCAGTTTTCAGTTCCAAGCTGGAACTTACTTTTGAGAATGCCTGAAATTCTTTTTAGATTTGTGACAAGGATTCTTGTGTTGAGTATAAATCTAGGTTTTCATGTTCTCTGTATCCTGTGACGGAGACCGTCATGAATAATTTTGAAAAAAATTGCTCGGTAGCCGTTGACAAAATTTTAGTTTTAGACTTATCTAATTTATAAATTCACATTTTTATGTTTTACATACATATTCTTTTTACTCAAAATTTAGATAGATCAAAACACTTTTCGGGTAAAATACATTAATTCGTTAACAATGTTCTCATCCTCCTTAATTTTAATTATTCAATTTCTTCAATTAATTTTTGCTTCCAAAAATATTTTTTCTGATATCACAACTTCTCTAAATACAAAATTAGACCCCTGCAAAGATTTTTATAAATTTGTTTGTGACGGGTTTGAAAGGAGAATTAAAGTGTTTGTTTAAATAAAATTAAAATTAAATTTATAAAATTATAAATTTAAGTTCAGAATGTTATGAAATTAGTAATGCAGCGACAAGGAAGGCTGAAGTAGATGATCAACTAGAATGTAATAAATAAATAAAATTTTTTTTTACTTGGAGAATATTACTCCTAAAAAATAATTTATTTTTAGTTTTGATTCTTTTTATTTTGTTTATCCCCAAGTAATTATTAGATAGGGACAGTCTGTTTTGTTAACCGTTATCTCTTTGGTTTTTGGATAGTCTGCTTCTTAAACCTCCACTTTTCTTTATTTTTTGGTCAGATCAAGATGTCCTATTCCAAAATACCCAGGCATTACTCCACAAAAATTAAAAAATAGGGCATATGTATGTTATTGATGCTCGGGTATCCTGATCCGGACTCCCTAGCTAATTTCCCGACCCGACTCCCGTTTCCCGGATTTTCTCTTCTCCCGAGCATCAATAATTATACCGTTCAAAAGAGGCAAAGAAGCTTAGGGGAAATTTAAGAAAATCATCATTTTTTCTCAAAATTTGTTCTTGGTTTTAGGATCGTTTGAAAATGTAATCCTAATGATAATCTCTAAATATTTTTTCCTTTCACTCTAAAATTATTTTTTCACTTTATTATTTATCTTCCCAAAATAAGTTTGAATCAAACAATAATTAAGATTGAAAATATAGAAAAAATTTTCTTTAATTTTAACAGTAATACTAAAAACTACAAAATCGCCACCTCCAAATCTCTCAAAAGGTCTAAAACAATTATTTAAAAAAATGTTTGAATTTCATCATTCTTGCATGACTTGGTCTGGCAAAGAATTATTTGGAAGTAATGCTGTATTAAATAAATTAGAATTATTACATACTGATGGAAAAATGAAAAGGCCACAATTTAATACGGAATGGGGAATTAAAGCATTTCCTGTCGGTGGATTTTTTCAGCTGGTTACTATATTCGATACAAGGAAGGGTCGAACAAATTTAGAAAGAAAAATTGTAGGTAAGTGAATTTAAAATTGTGCGTGAGGGTTGGGGCATTCAAATACTATCAATTATCCCATAACTAAAGGAGTTTTCGTATCATAATAGTTTTACTTTTCTTCCGAGATGCGCAGGATTTTGCTTACAACCTTCCGTCCTTCCTTTTTACCTTTTTAATATTTTTATCCAAAATAATGACATAACATATAATCTGGGTATAATGAAATGTTGGAAAGCTTATTACAGTCAAACCTCGATATAGTGACTTTTAGTTATGAACTTGAACTTGTCGAATTTTTTCACTGGTCACCGAGATTTCTTTCTAAAATGACCTTCTGTTCGATACAATAAACTTCTTCGCTCGCCCTTTGAGTTACTTATATCAAGATTTAACTGTATAAACAAACATATAATTTCAATAAATAAAATATAGGTGTTCGTCCAATGTCATTAATTTCAAGTCAAAGTGATTGGAATTCTAATGGAAATGTAAAAAAATTCTTTTAATAATTTAAAAATAAAATTTAAGGGAAACAAATTAATGGCCACCCGTTTTGGCCAAATAATTAATTCTTTACTTGAAGACGATATTGTCAGATCTCATCAATATAATGTTAATCCTGTACTCTTTCCTTTCTCTAATTATATATTGAAGGTTCTTCAGAAGTTTTTAATTAAAAAATAATTTTTTAAGGGAGAAATACCCCCTTCATGTTCAAAAACAAAATGTCCAATGAGTGAACGTTTAAAACAAATGGTTAAATCAGAGGCTGAGAGGCGTGTAAAAAATTTATTGTTAGTTGAACAAATGTTGGCAAAACATTTTGGTGGGAATAAATTCCTTAAAAATTTTAAGGATAATTTTTTTTCAAGTAAGAGTAGTAAACATTATTTGATGCAAACTACTTTTGAAATTACTAAATTACCCCATTAATTATTTTTCTTGAAGAAAAAATTATTAAAAAATTATAATAACTGAGATAAAGTTTCTAATTATTTTTTTCATTAAAGGTAGGAGAATAGGAAACTCGAATTTGAGACTAAAAAATCTAATAAAAGCTCACTCTCTAACAGAAGGGCACTTCCTAATATGTATAAGCACATCTAAGGAGATGTCTGAAAAATAAAGGCTTGAAAATTGTGTTAATTCATGAATCTGAATTATGTATATGTTCGTATTTGGAATAGGAATACTTTATCAAGATGTTTGATAAAAATATATTAAGAATTTTATTAGCAAGTTAAATCAGTAATAATAAAATTTGACAGAAAATTTAAATTAATTCAAAAACTTTAATGATAAATAATATTTTAATTTTTGCTTCTTTTATTTTTTAGACACAGACCCTCTCTACGAAAATGACCCTTTGTCACATCAAAATTATATTAGATTATCACAACTTGACAAGCCTGGGGAATTTTTACCATCATTTAATTGGACTAATTATTTACGTTCAATATTATCTCCAATAAATTATAAAATAAATTGGAGAACAGAAATTTATGTTTCTGAAGTTGGATTATTACAAAGATTAGCTAAAACTATAGAAAAATTAACAGATCAACAAATTGCTGATTACTTAGGTCCTTTCATTAATATTTAAAAAGCAAAGAATTAAATCAGTGATTGAAGGGATTGTGTCGACGCGTAGGTTTCTAAATCCCGGCAAATTTAATTTGGGCAGTTTCTGGAATTGGGATTTAACCTTAATTCCCGTTTGGACTCATGCCTCGACATATTTTTAGAGTTGCCAGCTCGCTCGAACCGAAACTCGAAAGATCGAGCGAGCCGAGGCTTTTCAGCTCGAAAACGAACCGTTTCGAAAAACTAAGCTCGAAAAAATCACTGAACGTCGGCTCGAACAGAAAACTGCAACCCTACTTATTTTAAAAATCCGATCACAAAAATTCTTAATCGTGAAAAGACTGTTAGATGCTACAGATTGCGGCTTGTATTTTTGGAAATTAATAGTTGTAAATTGCGGCTACCTATGTTTAATTTGTTTCTATTGCTAAAAACCATGTTGGGAATCTTTATCCAATTCCTTCAAGTTCCAATCCCAAAACAATTTCGATCTCTAATTTAAATTTATTGGAAAATATTTATTATTTAAAAATAAAATTATTAGATTGGCAAATATTATGGACATTTTTGCCTCAATTAGACACTCGTTATACCCATCCATATGTGGATGTAAATAAAATGAAAGGTAAAAAATAAAATTTTAGAAAAAATTTGAAAGAATTTTTGTTTAGATTCTTTTAGCGTTAAAAAATGTCCGTTGGATAGGCGTTGGATGAAAATGGAAGAAAAATGTAGAAAATTTATTGAATGGTATTTCCCACATTTTCTTGATCATCTTTATATCAAAAAATATTTGGGTAGAGGTGTTAAGGAGCAAGTTAAACAAATATTTACTGATATCTATGCTGCATTTAAACAAATGCTTGAATGTAAGTAAAAATAAAATTTAATAAAAATTTATAAAATATGAATTTAATTTTCGACTGTAAGCAAGAACACATAAAAATATTCCTGTTACAAAAAATTATTAAGCAGAAACTAAAAAAATATTTTTGTGTTAGTGGTTCTACCAGACTAGCACACGGATACTGATTTTGGTATCCGTATCCGCATATTTACGACGGATACAGACGGATATCCGCAGGGATTTTTATAATATCTGTATCCATATCCGTATCATATTTTGGTATGAAGAATCAGCAATAGAGTGTTCGAAGAACTGGTTTCTGAAAAGTGGAATTATAAGGAACTAAGTACATAATTTTGGTAAATCATGTCGTAACGGGGGTGGGTTTGGTTTTTGATATTTCTCAGTTATATAAATCAGATTTTAAAACATATTTTCAGCAAATTCATGGTTAGATTTAAAGGCAAAACAAAATGCTTTAATTAAACTTAAAGGAATACGTTCTGTGAGTGCTTATTTTGATCAGATATTTAATGACAATTATCTTCAACAAATTTAAAGACCATTTTATTTATTAAAAACTGATGCTTTATTTCCTCAGATTGTTTATCAATTAACTGGTAAATAAAAGATAAATATATGCACCGCGGGTGGGCCCTGTCGCATTTTTAAATTTTTAAAAGCGGAACCGAATTGGCGGAAGGCGGAAAAAACGAAAAATTAAAAGCGTAAAACGTAACGTAGAAGTGGAAGGCCGAAAAAACGGTATTCTGCGGAAGGCGAAGGCGTAAACCGAACCTGCCTGGAATTTATTTATTACCAACTCCAATTTAATCCATCTTTATAGGAGAATTTCGATAAAAATTAAATATTTATTTCAGGTTTAAGTTTACTTCGACAAATGGCTACATTAGATTACTATGATCCTTCTTGGGGAGTTAATGCTTACTACAGCAGAGAAAACAATGCTTTAGTTACACTCAATGCTTATTTACAGCCACCTATATTTAACCATGATTTTCCAGCAGCATTTAATTATGCGGGAATTGGTTTTAAAAATTATTAGATTTTAATAATTTAATATTTTAAAAAAAGGTGTAACTCTTGGACACGAACTAACTCATGCTTTCGATGCTTGGGGATCTTATTACGACGCAGAGGGAAAGTACAACAATGATTGGTTGCTACCAGATATACGTCGTAAATTTCAAGAGCGAAAGCAATGTTTTGTGAAACAATATGGAAATATTAAAGTAGTTAATAGTTGAAATAGTTAGGGAAATAGGGCTAATGCTTAGAATTTGTAAAAAAAATTTCGTCAAATTCGAAGCAATTCTAGGCATCTTAAAATTCGAAGCATTAAGTATGCAGAGGAGAGGAGAATAGGAAGTTATTAGGGACTTGCGTTCCATTCTATATTTTTGGAGCAAACTTGGTCTCTTAGTAAAAGTACGAGCTCGTATTTAATATAAACTTTAAATAACTGCTGCCTTAATAATTTTACTAACTAATCAAACTCAAAGGAATATCGTTTTAATTAAAGGTACAAGTTGATGGAACAATTTTATCAATAAATGGCTCATTGACAGCTAATGAAAATATTGCTGACAACGGTGGACTTATTGCAGCATTTAATGCCTTTCAATTGCTTAAACAAAAAGTTAATTATCCCAAACATGTATTTAATGGTTTAAGACAATATAATGACGAACAACTTTTCTTCATTCACTTTGCTTATGTGAGAATTGTTTTTTGAAATTTTTGAAAATTTGGACATTTTTCTGCCTTAAATTTTGAGAAAAAATTCATTTTTATCCATTTCAAGTTTTGATTTTACACACACGAGGCTGTGAATGTTTGTAAAATCCTTCCACACTAGAGGTCGGTGCGGGACGGGATCCCGCGCGAGTTTTTGCGGGATAGCTCCCGCAATCTCGCACTTTTTTCGATTTGCGGGATTTTGCGGGAGTGCGTGATTTTGCGGGATTTTTTTTGAAATTTACTCCCGCATGCGGGATCCCGCATACACAATTTTTCCGACCTCTATTCCACACCCCAACCATGTAAAAATATACTTAAAAATTTAGTGTCTATGTATAATTTTCTGTTACAGCGCCAATGCTCTAAGATGGGTCAAATATGGCTTAGACAACGTCTCAGTGTGGGACAGCACTCTGTTACACCTGCGAGAGTTAATGTGCCGCTTCAGAATTTTCCAAAATTTGCTAAAGCATTTAAATGTCCTTTAGGTTCAGCAATGAACCCTTATTTAAAATGTTCTCTTTGGTGATTATTTTATTTTGTATTTTAATAATTTTGTTTAAAAAATAAATGAAATAATTTTTAAATTTTTCAATTTATTTTAATAAAATCAAAAATACTTATAGAGTAAAGCATCTGGGCTATAGCTATTTCTCTCCTTTAGCTAGTGCAAAAGGTTATTCGGCGGCTGGGAACGAACCAGCATCTTCAGTAGACCGGACTGATGTGTTAGCCATTACACCACGCTGACTACTGCTCAGCCTTAGGAAATTAATAGCTATATGCTTTACAATAGTTCAGAGCTTTTAGAATTCTTGTACCATCTTTGCTAATTCTTTTTTTATGTAGTATACTAGTGATGTTCGGGAATGAAAAAAGCCAAGAGTTGAGACCGGGAATCAGCCCCGAGACTCGAGACCGAGAGTTTGTTGACAGTTTATGGGAAATCTTCACGCCTTATAGTATGCGGAAATGTCGCGCCTTATTTTTGCGACAAAATGGCAGCTACAAAATTATTAATTAAATCTACCCGGTTTGTCGCGGGACTTTCGTTGCAGTTTGAGTTTTTGCGCACTTACATTTTTTTCTTTTGCTTCTTGATTTGGTTACTTTTACCTAAATCGTTTTTTAGATTTTGTTTATTTTCAAACTTTCTATTGACAAAAATTAAAAATGTCGGCTATGATTCAACCTCTAAATCCAAAGCCATTTTTGAATGCATTGGCTGGTAAACCAATTATATGCAAATTAAAATGGGGAATGGAATATCGAGGTTTTAAATATTTTTAGTTTCTTTCTGACTCATTTTTTTCAGGAATTTTGGTCTCTGTAGATGGCTACATGAATTTACATTTGGCCAATTCTGAAGAGTACATTGACGGGACTAATACTGGGGCACTTGGCGAAATTTTGATTAGGTTTGTTTATTTTTTAAGGGGAATTTGGTAATTTTGAATCCCCTCACTTCTGTCAATTTTTTCCTTTAAAAATGTACTTGATTGAGCAGACTTTCTTTCTAAATTTTCTTTTTTCCCATGACATTCCGTGTTTAAGGAATTGGGGTACTTGTCGGTTATCCCTACGGAATTTTTTTTTTTGCGGTCACAATTGTATAGAAGAGTCAGAGTTTCTCTTTCCCCCATTTAAAAACTAATCAATCATTAGGGATTAAATTTGATTTTACGTGGGAAAATGTGGTTAGGAAAAATTTGACCTTCCCTCAAATTATTTTTAACCAACATTTTTCAGATGCAATAATATTCTTTGGGTGTCTGCTGCAGATGAAGCCGAAGCCTGATTTTATTCTTTAATGACCTGTTAAGCTATTTTACTATTTTTTCATTCTTGTAACTTATACAAAATTAAATTTGAATAAACAAGTCTTTAATTGTGAATAATTTTTATTTTTTTTTAAATTGTTGTGTTCATCAATACTTGTGACACGTTGTTAATTAGGGTTTTAATTAGAGATCGAGCCTGGGTAGGCCAAGGCGTAATGCCTTGTTTTGACTTCCTTGAGGATTCTTTAGTCTTAGGATTAGAGGTACTTGTCTAGTTTACCCCCCATATGCCCTCCCAGTTTTCCTTTGAATATTACCACAAGCACCGCCCCGTTTCATCCTATAAAATGACCATTTGGGTCCATATTTTCTTACATGTCTCTGTCATTTAGCCTTGTAATTAGGTCTACGGCAGTTGAATTTTGAACAATAGTTAACATGCCTCTTTAAATATCTCGATCTCTAGTTCTAACCCTTCGACTAACTTTCATTTTATCATTTTAGTCAAAGTTTTTATTTAGAATTCTCGATAGATGGCCGGAACTTTAGATGAGACGTCTCGAAGTTTTGAACGTATTGAAAAGGAGATTGCTCTTGAAGCTTCAAATTCTACAGCAACCCCAGTAGTTCCAGATTCTACAGCAACCCCACATTCATCGCTTTTTGCGGTTTTTTAAAATTAATTTTTCGTTTAATTTAATCATATTCAGCCTCTGAATATACCAAATTTCAAACAAGCGGATCCAAATCCTCCTTTGTTTCACAGCACTCCTCAACAACAATCTGGGAAAATGCAAAGACCTGGACGGTTTTTCTTGTCTAATTTTTTTTAATTTTATTTTTTAAAGTTTTCACGATCTACGAACTCCTGGAGGTCGTGCTTTCTCTCCAATTACAGAAGAGGGTCGAGATGATTTGGACAGGCTTGTCTCAGACGTGATTAAACTGCGGGGTGATGCAGGCGGCAAAATTGTTCAAAATTTGGCTGCCCAATTAAGAAATATGATTGCTAAATGGGACGTGGCTCAAGCGAGGCATAGACAAGTGGCCAAAATTGTATAAAATTATTTTTGAAATATTTTTTCATTTTTTATTTTTTCAAGTATTTTGGAAGGCAACAGGACGATTTGAATGCACAGTGGGAAAAACTTAATTCAGAGAGGGCAAAATTTCAACAAGAAAAAAGCGATGAATGGGCAAAAATTGCATCTGTTCGGAGTGGTCTTCAACGAAATAAAGATATTGCAATGGCTAAAAAAGATTCCGATACAATAAAACATTTGGAATTACAGGTTTATTAATAAAAATTATTAACAATAGGTACGACGTTTGATTTATAGAATTTAAGACTAATTATTATAAAAATTCATTCGTATTCCAACTCCTTTTTTTTGAGATTCCACAAAAATTCTGACATTTTATAAAATTAAACAAGTTTTTAAAGTGAATCTGAGGTATTTTTGGATTATTATACTTGTAGATTCGCATCTCGTCTTATTTTTAAGTTTTTTAGAGACACTGGGTGGTGAGCTGTTTAGTGGATGTTTTCTATTTTAGGCACATCTCATCCGAACGTACATTTTTCAGCCCTTTAGGAGTAGACGAAATTATTATACGGCTGTAAATCTTTTAAAAATTTCTAAATTTTTGGCTAAAGTTTCTTTTACTAACTTAATTTTCTTTTAAGCTCGAAAAGTTAAGAACAAAAGATCTTCTCTCCTCACAAAAACTTAGTGAATTACGTATAAAAATAAAAGAATTGGAAGGAGAAGTTAATGTTCGTGAAAAATCGTTTAAAGAAAATATTGTAAAAATTAATAATTATCGAGATCAATTGGCTAGGACACAGGTTTTTTTGAAAATTTATTCAAAATTTTTTTAAATTTTTAGCAAGAAAATTCCAATCTTCGAACAAAATTAACTTTAATGAAAGCAGAAAAAGAAAAACAACAATCAGAGGCTGCATCTCAACAGACTCTTCAACGTACTAACCAGGCTGGACCTAGAAACACGCTTATGAATGTTTTTCGTGCAAATCAACTTTCAAATCGAATGGATACGAGCTTAATTGTAATCTTTTTAAATGAAAATAATAATTTGATAATAATTATTTTTATAGAATTCTTCGTCTTTCTTTTCATCTTCATCATCCATTCGTCGAAATAATTCTTTTTCATTTTCAAATGCCCAACACCAACAACAGTCTAATATTTTGCGAAATAATCAATCTTTCACGAATGGTGGACAAAATATGCAGGTTATCTTTAAATTCAAAAATTGTTTTCTGTTCCTTTTTGTTACTTTTTTTGTAACTTGTTTCGAAAAAATTTAAAAATAAAAGGTGTCTAAAAATTATGAAGCCTAACAAGAAAGCATTGTTTACTGTGACTGCGAATTTAATATATAGCTTCTTTGGTACCATTCGATAGAGAACCCTCGATTTACTTTTGTTGTTTGCGGGTTTTTCTGCAAAATTAGTTTGAACCGAGTGATGACCGTTCAAAGTTAGAAAACCCGCACACAACAATAGTAAATCGAGGGTCCTCTATCGAATGGTACCAAAAAATATATCAAATTCGCAGTCACAGTAAACGATGGTTCCATGTAAGGATCTAGGTAAAGAACTACCTTGAAACTGTCCAATTTATTTTTACTTTTTTTTCCACTTTTCGATTTATTATTTTTTTAGTCTGAATAATAAAAAAATAATTCTTTTTCATTCTTTTTTAGTCAGCTCCACGTGTCCGCTTTGCCGATGATCCTATTAATCTATTTCCTGCTTCGTCTAATCGCTCAATGTCTTCTACTACTAGCGAAGAAATTTCTTTAAATAAACGTTTTGAATTGCCTTCTGAAATGGTTTGTTTCTTTTTTTGGTTTTTATTTTCTTTTCTTTTTAGATTTATACAGCGTATCAAATGACAGAACGAGGCAAAGAACATACATTTAATGATGGAAATAATCAAATTATTGTTGTTGAACTTTCAGGCTGTGATCAACCTTTATATTGTAGATATTGCCTTTTATATGAATATTTATCAAAATTAACTGGGGAAAATGAAAATAATTTGGTGGATGCTAATTCAATTGATTTTCGTTGGATAAGCGTTTCAACGTTGCCAATATTTAATTCTAATGAAAATAAACACAAAATTGAAGTAATTTTTAGTTAATAATTAATTTTTTAATGGATTTTGGCGATTAAATCAATTAAAGAATAAAATTCGAAATTTTATTTGTAAACAGTCGATTGATTTAATTGACTCAAAAACCTACATAAGCGGAACATTGGGATATTTCAATGCACGAACAGTTACCCTACTGATTTCGGAACCTACGGCTACTGGGGCTGGGATAGTACTTTGTCCTATTTAAAAAAGTATATGTTCTAGAACAAACGTAAACACGAAAAAGGTTATTTTTCTCATAGCAACCCCGATTTTCTCAAGTCAAACCCAACCACATAAGAAGGAATCCGGAAGAAAGAGGGCGCGGGATAATTTTCAAAATTACCAAAAAAATTTTAAATAATTTTTTTAATTTTTCCAGATCAATTTTCTTCAAAAAAACAATTTCTATCAAATAATAACGCCAATAGGAAATGTTATTAAATTCTTTCTTTCTGGCCAATTAGAAGTTTACTGGAAATGTGGTGATAAAACAATAGTACGTCCAGATGGTGAACGACATGAATTTTTTAATCCAGAAAAACCTGATTATTATATGGAAATGTTTGTTTTTTTTTTTAAGTAAAAATTTTTTATTTAAAGTTATCTTCCGAATGGAACCGCTTTTCGTTTAAAAGCTTCAACTCAATGGGAAAGAGAAGAGTTCGTTCCCAATACGTCTGCAATGTCTCTTCGTTCAGATGGGTCTCATTCTATCTTATACAATCAGGTATTTGTAAGGTTTTTTTAATTTTGCTAGGAAATGACTATATTTTTATTAATTTTACGGAGTTAAGAAATTTTGAGAGAAATTTTTAGCCTAATTTTTATAGATAAACTGGAGTGGCCCCTAAATTTATATAATATTTTCTCATTTTTAGCAACCTCAGGAAATGTCAAGTTTACAAATAGATGCACCAGATTTTAAGGTTTTTCTTTTATAATTTCTTTAAAAAAATTTAATTTTTTTAAAGCTCCGTCGGTTTGATTTAACAAAAGCAGTTAAGATGGTAATACCAGAAGTGTCATCTTTTAATGGTGCTAGTTTACATGTTTGGTTTTGCGTTGACAAAGTCGTTATGGTTAAACACTATCGAAGTTGTAATTTGAATAATTCTGAAAATAGTATCCGTGAACGAAAGAAATATGGTAATTTTTTAAATAAAAAATGATTCTTGGTTATAACTAGAGTCCGACATTTTAGGCCCGAAAAATTGAGATAACATCGAATTCTGTTAAATTCAGTGTGACCCTTTCATAAACATTAAAATGTGGTTTTGGAACTTATCGCAACAGATTGCACATTAAGGTTTGCCGTTTTCGAGTCGGGCCGACGGTCGAGACATTTTTTCGGGCTTGTTTTTTATCGAGTCGGGCCGGTACGAGTCTTCGGGCCAAATATCTTATGCCCGACTCGATCTTTCGGTCCGAGTCGGGCCATTTTGGCAACCCTAGTTATAACAAACATACTTTCAAAAAGTTGATGTGTCAATTCATTACTCGAAAATTTTTTTATGTTGAAGTTAAAAAATTTCTCTGATCATAAACATGAGCCAAAAATATACATGAAATATCATATGTAATTTTTAAAGATCAATATGTTTGTTTATTTCGTGGCAAATGTGAGCATATTAGAGCACCACCAACAAATGGTTGAAGTTTAATTAAAATAATGAAGTTTCTGTTACAATGCGATAAAAGAAAAGATTATTTTAAACAGGATATATTTATTTTTGGTTTATTTATTTGTAAATATTTGGCATACATAATTCTGTAAAGATTTTTTAAACAATCTAACCCCTATCAATAAAATTAACTCTATGATCTCAGGCAATTTTTGTTGTTATTGCCTTAAAGCCTTAGAAATATTTCAATCAGACCTCATTATAAATATGCATAAAATACAAACTGCCTAGGCGATACTGCTTAAGGAACAACGCTCATTATACGATACAATTTTTCCATCCAAAAAATTTTTTATAGTGAGGCTCGACTATACATATTTAATAATATTTTTTTCGATTAATTCATTTAAAATGTAGGTGCCTAAATCATTTATTTTACTCACTTAATTATTTACATAGATCATTATAAATTTCATTTAATTCGAACTTTTAAAATAAAATATGTATTTTTAAATAATTTTTAATTCATGCATAGTTTAGTGAATAATATTTTTAAAATTCTAAAAAAAAGTTTGAATTTAAAAATTAATTAGATATGGAGAAGGTCGATAGAGAGGATTCTTCGAGAAATAAAAAATTTGTTCATCAAAGAAAGTTTAATAAAGCAAAGCAGGAGGGTGAAGCTGACGACAAAAGTGAATCAGATATCCCGAAAAGGTATATAGTTTTTTACATTGGGGAAATTGATCGGAATTATTTAAGAACCAAAGTTACTTAAAAACTTTGTCGACGTTAATTAAAAGGAATGATAATGTTTAATAGGTAGTTCCTTCAAAGTAAAATTCCCTTTTTCGTGTGGGAAATGGGGTCGGTCACTAAGCCAGATTATATAAAACACTAAGTTGAGAATCGTCAATGTACCGCCGAGCTATAACTTTGTTTAAGATTATCGACGGTTCGATGTATTTTGACGAGCTGAGTCTAACAATACCAAAACGAGGTTATAGCTCGGCGGTATATGGGCTTGAGTCGGAGTGTATCCGTTTTCAATCTCTATAAAGTAAGCTAGTAATTGGCATTAAAATAGAAAAACTGGATTTTGGAACTCAGATTACGAACTGATTTAATAAAAGTTAAGGCTGTAGAAAAATCTTTCGACTTTTTTTACACCCTACTAATCAAAAATAGTTTACAATTTAATTGATAAAAATTCTCAATAAATTTAGAAAAGATTATGTGAGTGCTTATAAACGTGCACAACAAAATTATAAAAAATTACGAGAAGAAAGAAAAAACGAAATTGAACGTCAAAAGATTGAACAAGAAAAGAAGAGGGAAAAAGCTAAATTTGAAAAAGAATGGCGTAAAAAGTAAAATTAAAAAACAAAAATTTTTTTAAATTTATTGCTTAATTAGAAAAAATCAAGTTTTGCAACTTAGAACGAGAAAAGGGCAACCTAATTTAAATGCACAAATTGGAATGATTTTAGAAAAATTGGAAAAAGATAAAGAAACGAATTAAATGATTTAAATGGACGATTGTTATGACATCCCTTTTTTGTGAAATTTTTTTACTATTTTTTCTTTGGAATTTATATTAAATTGGAATTCATAAACCTTTAAAAAACCTCCGCAATTTTTATAGAGGTAGACCTCCGTAGAGTTGCCGTCCATAAAAACCTACGTAACTCCCCATCCATGTGCCCTCGTCCCGAAGGGGGAAATTACACACTTTACTAATCCCTCCAAATCCGCCTATGTCCCCCTCACCTATATCCCCCCTCGACGGTGAAGTTTGTCACCATGAAAGTTGTTTTGTGGACATTTGGGAATTTGTTCCATTCTGTTCCAATAATGGAAAAGTTGTTGATAAGGGCATGTGGAACCAATGTTTTTGCTCATACTTAAAAACTTTGTGAATACCGATTTTTCAATCACGATCCGGTATCGGTATCATTATTCCAAATTGCAATGCCGATTTTTTGTTGATACCGATACCGCTTAATTCTAATTTTAAATATTAAAAGAAATACAATCAAAAGAAAAATAGAAGAGGATAGTTTCAAAGAATATAACAAAGATAAATAAATATACCAAAATATGCTATAAGGTTGATTAAAGCAAGAATAGCTGCCATCCATTTACCACAATTTATCCATGCTTGTCGAAGAGCTTCAAGAATGTCTCTTTTTTTGCGGGTTTTCGTCTCAGAATTTTTTGATGAAATTAAAGGAAAGGAAGGATTTTTACTTCTAGATTCTTTACCAAAAGTTAGATACTTAAAAATATTTCCATCTAAAGTAGATGAACATGCTCCTTTTGTTTCTTAAAATTAATTTTTATTTCATTGAAATTTTTTTTAATATAAAATTGTTTTAAAATGGTTAATTACTTAAGAATTTGTTTTCATTTAAAATTCCGCCGATAACCCCAAAATTTGGACAAATTTTGGGGAACAGCTTTCTGGGATCACCATAATTTTATGTTTTATTAGTTTGTCGTAATAATTAATATTTAGCACCATTTTTAATTTATTTTTAATAATCTAGGAGACATGGCGGGGATGTTGTGTTTGTTCTTTTATGTTTGTTCTCCATATCAGAGTATTCTAGATTTTAAAGAAAATCAAAAACTGCCCCTAATTATTCTGCAACTAATAATTTTTAAAATTTTTAATCACAGAACCTGTGGATTGCTGTTGTGGATTATCTTCAATAATTTTCTTGTTACCCTTTATTAAATGAGTATCTTGACTTTTGCTGTTATTTTGGTCTGAATCAGAATTAATAATTGGATTTTTATCAGAATTATATTGTTGAATATCGTCATTTTTCACTTCTTTATAATTCTGGCTCATTAACGGAATAGAACGACGTTTACGATCTTGGGCAGAATAACTTGGAGATGGTGGTGAATGTCCATCTGAAGAAATACTTTCAGTATCATCAGCATCAAAATCTTGTGGTTGATTTAGATGATAGACAGATGGATATACTGATTGTGTATTGCTTGAAGAAGATGGACTATTTGGATAATTATCATCGGAATATGAAACTGCTGGTTGATGTTGTGGATGTTGAAACCATGGTATTGGTTGGTGTTGGTGAGGGTGGTGTGGAGGATGATGGTGAATAATGTTTTGGGGCTGCATTGGTGGATTTACATGTGGCTGTATTGGTGGGTGTAATTGTGGGTGTAATTGTGGATGTATTTGTTGTTGTATTGGTTGGTGGATTTCATTCATTTGTTCATTATTTCCGCCATTATTTCCCTCGTTATTTCCGCCATTCTGTCCGTGTGCTCGTCTAAAATGCCAAACATTTCTTAACCAATTCAAATCAGGTAAAGTGCAGCGAACTTCATATAGGTACTCAACAACACGTCCGACAATCCAGACAAGATAAAGAAGACCAAATGTCACATAAGTTTCTAAATAATTTATTTTTTTCATTGGCACATCAGGAAATAAAGCTTTCAATATTGCGTGTCTTTGTTCTCTTGATCTTCTATCTCTCTCGCTACTACTAGGTGAACGCTTTTTACGATGATAATTTTTTGAATTGTTATATTGAAGCATATATGGATTTTGTTTTATATAGTTCTATAAAATTTAATTAAATAAATATACACATATATATCCGTTATTTGTAATTTAATTGTGTTTTAATTTTAATGATATGTTCATTTTAAAATTTTAGATTTATAGTAGTCATTATTTTATTCATAACTCAGTCAGATCTCGATTCTATTACACGAAACTAAAGGGTTTAGAAGAATACGAAACTAGAATATACACGAAACTAAAGGGTTTAGAAGCTCCCCTCATGCACTGATCAGCCAAAAAATTACAGTGTAAATTACACTTTTATTGTGTTTTAATTTTAATGATACATACATGTGGGTATATTGGTGGGTGTATCACTTTTGGCAAAGTAAATAAAAGTGTAATTTAGCCGACATAAAAATAAATTTTTTCCTGGGAATCATATGGCTAGATCCCTAGTCTATATAGAATCGAGCCTATCACTTTTGGCAAAGTAAATCGGTCCCATAATTTATTTTAAATAAACCTAATTTTCACTCACTTCGTTAACATCTGACCAAACTACATTGCTTAAATTGTTAGTGAAATTTGAAATATTTTTTTCCAAATTTTCTGATAATACAGCTTTTTTTGCTTCTTTTAAATTTATATTTATCAAATTTAAAATTTCTTCAGAATCATTTATTTTTCCACCCTCAATAATTATTTTCTCCAACATAATTTCTCTATTATTTCCTCCTTTTCCCCATTTAATTATTTTAATAAATTTATTTATTAAATTAAATATGCCTTTAAATTCGTTTTTAATGTTTTCTGGAGTTAATTTTTGATTATTCCAATTTTTAATAATTTCTTTTAATTTAATTAAAAATATTTTGGCATATTTCCTTCCATAAAAATAAATTGGAATAAATATTTTATTTTTATTTTCTTCATTATTTTGATTTATAACCCAAATAATTTCAAACATTAAATTAATAATTTCATTAAATAAAGGATTAAATAATTCCCAACTTTTTTTGAATATTTTATTTTTACTTTTGTTGGCCCTCTTTTCAATTTGAGCAATTAAACTTTTAAAAAAGCTCAATTCTTTTTGGTTAATTTGTTTGGAATTGCTGGTATTGTAGATTGGTGTAGTTTGGAAATCAATTTGTTCAAATGTAAAATTGGAATTGGAATTGTCTTTAAGATTAACTATTTAGTAGGAATTGAATTTTACTTGAATTCTACACTCATACTGCCCGGCAAGTCCCTGATCTCCATAGTCTGTTCCAGCTCAATCCCTTCGCCTACACATTATTTCTACACCGGATAAACTTTCATTCTTGTGCACGTCGACGTAAGTTAAATCTCGGACATAACACTACGTCACCTCCCAATCAGAGAAATATGGCTTACCCCCATCAGATTTTAATAAACCTAACTGAAAATGGAATGAAAACAGAGTATAGCCTCTAATTTTAGCTTTAACATGTATAAACTTACCAAGATTTATTAAACATTTAATTGAATTTCTAAATGCATTATTACTCCACTCAGTTTGATCAAAATAAATATTGTCAATTTTTTCCTCTAATTCAATCTTTTCCTCTTCCCCCATAAAATCTGTTAATTGCTCTTCTCCAACTCTATATGAGAGTATTATTGTTCTGATTAAAAGATTTAAATCCAGATTATTTAAAGAACTTTTGAACTGGGAAATAAAGAAATCTCGTATTTTCTCTTTATTTTCAATAAGTTCAATGTAGTAATCAAGACTCGAATTATTCTTTGAATAGTTATTATATTCAAAAAATGGATGCCAATCATTGAAGTTAATACTCTCGTTTGTCTAAATATTGATAAATTATTTTGTAAAATTAGATAGTGGAATCTCGATATAAAGACATCCTTCGGGCTGAATTTTTGACGTTGGAAGGAAATTCACGTAGGACCAAATCAGGCCAAACCCACAAATCGTAAATTAATTGTATTAATATTGGGAGGACATGAGATTCGGTATCGCGCGTTGTCATTTAGAGATTCCACGTATGTTTTTGTTGCAAATACCTGACTACCAATTACTGGCTTCTTGTAGCATTCTGGATTAAAATACCAATTCAACAACTCTTTCAGCTTTACTGGATCAAAAATATTTTGCTCCTCAACAAGTCTTTTAAATCCAGATTCGGAAGCAGGATTTAACAACTTCATTATTTTCATTGCCAATTTTAATTCCTCTCTTTTTTGTGTGCCCACAATCCCCAAAAATGTTTGTATGTCCAACTTTTGAATAGCTTCGTAAATTACTTCTGCTATATACAAAGGTCTAGTGAGCATAAAGGATCGCAAAAAGATTTTGTAATTTCCATAGATTTCCGAATGATTTTGTCCTCTTTCTATTAAACATTCATCAATACATTCCAAGTAACGTTTAAGATGTTTAATCACATTTTTACCAATCATATCATTTTCAATGATTCCCTTAATTTAAAAATACAGTCGAATCTTGCTAACACTGCTCCCTGATAGACGACTTATTTTAATAGTATTAACTGTTTTATTAATGTTGAAGACACTGGAGATAGTGAGAAATAGGGTTGCACGAGACCGTTTAAAACGAGACTTTTTGAACCCTGTGGCAGGTCAAAAAGAGAAGAGAGAAGGAAAAAGTCCGCCACAGGGAAAAATAAACGAGGAATTAAACGCTCTCGTGCAACCCTAGTGAGAAAGATAAATTTTCCTATGATAACTCATGGAGGAGTGTGAAAAATAGTCTCCCTAGAGTATTATTCGAGCAAATACGGTATTTTAAAGCTAATTAATAGAATATTTTTGGAGAAAGCAAATTGAAAATTATTTTGAAAATTGAGTGGTTATCTGCAATGTAAACTTTGTAAACAGTTTGGGCAATACTTCTGACAGTGACTGTATAACCATGGATTTTTAAACTATTTATTTAAACTTGCCTTGATTGGATCCCTTATTTGCTTTCCTTCTTGATTACAAAATGCAAGAATCCCTTTAAATCGAGAACGGTCATTGTAAAAAGCCAACCCATTCAAAAGTTGATTTCCACAACTTTCTGGGTCAATACACATTTTAGCTTTGTTTAACAATTTTATAACATTCTTCTCTGTTAACTCATCAAGTTTCTCCAAAACCTGGTCACTCCATATTTGATTAACATAAATCAACAAAATTAACTTTGATATTAAAAACGATGTTTTTAACATTAGAAAATTTTTTTAATTTTTTTTATAAATGGTAAATTTTGGCTAAAAATTTTTATTTTGTATATACATATGTGAATATGAAATCGAACATAAATGAATATTAAATTATAAAAAGTCTAAGGGAAGGGGAGTTAATGTAAAATTATGTCTTGTGTAAGTACATAAACGGACAAAAAGGAAAGAAATCAAGTCTTTTAATCCTCAATGCTATTCTTCATCACAAGATGTTAAACGATTCATCGTTGCCCTAATCAGAGATTCAAAAGAGAATGAGAGTAAAGAGTGAATAAATGTAGAGACTGGCCTATTGCGCTATTTGAGGTAAATTAACAAAATTAACCTAGAAAAACATCCTTTAAAATGATTAAGTGATGTTATTTGTTCGGGATCAAAAATTCAAGGAAATTTAGACTGAAGCGCTAAAAATGTGAACTTCAACGCCATATTACTGAAATTTCCTTAGAAAATTTTTTATTATTTTTAATCATCAAATTGTTTTTTTTATTTGATAATTTTCAAAACAATTTTAAAAATAATTTCATAATTATATCCAAAAAATGTGGCCGACAGATGACTAATAAATTTTAATTTTTGCGTTGTTTCGTCAATTGTTCATTATTTGCGTTTCTGCGCTTGTCTGAGATGAAGCGAGGAAGGCTAGCAAAGACTGACGGACGGATATTAAATAATGGATGTCGAGGATTTTAAAAATTTTAAAGAATAATCTCTATTGTAGCTTCTGACAATCGAGTTGAATTTTTAAGGTTCCAATTAAACAAAAGCTAAGTTAAGCAAAGGTAAAGTTAAAGCAAAAGAGGGTTCACTGAGAAAATTTCCTTCGATTTTAATTTTTGAACAAATTTTGAAAAATTTTAGCTATATTTTACTAAATATTTTTAAATAATTTTTTTGCTTAGAATTTAATAAAAAAATTTAACATTTACGTAATTAAATATTTTTCCAAATAAACTCTGTGAATCATTTAAAACAAAAAATTAGAAAATGTTAGTAGGGGTTTAACAACGATTTATCATATAATAAATATGAATACTTGGATAGAAAATGTTCAAAAAATCTTTTTTAATCATTTTTTATAAATTTATATTTTATAAAAAATTATTTTTCTTTTCATTATCAAATAAATATTCTCTGATTTTATCTGTTTACTAAAAAATAAATTACCTTATTAATTAAAAAATAAAAATCATAAGGTTTAAAGCCCTAGTTCTAATTGCGGTTTTTAATAATATGAATTGAGAAAATACAATTTTACCAGAAAATAAACAAACATTTAACCAGTTCTCTTTGGAGAAAGAAATTAAAATTATTTTAGGATAAACTACCGTATATCCTTTAATAACTACCCCGGGTAATTTTTGTTTCGACCTTCCGCTATAGGGAGTAGTTAATCGAGGGAGGGTAATTATACGAGGTTTGAAATTTGAACGTGTTTTAGGGCATTTGTTCGGGGGTAATTATTGTTTCAATCTATCGCTGGATGGGGTAATTAATTGATGTGGGTTAATTATTTGAGGGAAGGCAATTAATACAGGTTAATATAAACAATTAATATAAACATATGCCCTCTCCCGAACTAAAGAGAGTTAAATATATCCATATGAAACTTTTTAATTTTTGGTCCAGTCCATCCACAAATGTCTGTGCGCTATAATTTAAGTTTAAATTTAAGTTTTTATATTTTTTTCGAATTTTAAAATGTTTAAACTTTTATTATTTGTGTTCTTTTATTCAATTTCAATTAACAATGCTGCAAACTTTAAAGATTCAATCTTACTCGAAAAGGTAAAATGTAGAATTATTAATATATTTTTCGAATTTCTAAATAATTATGTTATTTATAAATTAAATTAGAGTAGCTCCCCGAGCCTTTGGGGTCGGGATCGTCGGGAATAGGGGTTGCCAAAAAAATCGTAGGGAACGTGGGACGGGGAGCTACCCTAATTTAAATATATTTACTATACATATTTAAATTAATTAATTTTTCTTTAGATGTTTAAATTGTTTAATATAAAAGAAAATGATAATATAATTATTCCTGATTGGAATACTACAAAAATTGTAACTACAACTGAAGGTTTGATTATTTTTTAAAAATAGTAGAAAAATCAGGATTCTATGTAGAGAGATTAGCTTTTGATAGTGAAACTGACAAATGAAACTAAGAAATATATTAAGCAAGTTCCTTAACTTTATAGTACTTTCTGATCTTGAAACTTTAATGTTTTGAATCATATCTGTGTCTTTTTATCAAAATATTTTTTGCTTCTTAATTTTAAAATTAAAAGGTACCACCACTATTAAAACTTCTACTACTCCAACAAAAACAACCAAATTATTAACAACTCCCTTACCCAGTACAACAACCAAACCAACCACTACATTAACTACTACAACAACATCATTACCTACAACTTCCATTCTATCAACTACATTATCTACATTAGAAACAACAACAGATTTAATTAATATTACAACAACAGATAAACCGATAAATTATATTTATGTTAAAAGTGTTGGATGGATGGTTGATTTTTTAAATTAGAAAATTAGGAATAGAAAGGGCCAATTTTAGTCAAAATAATTCTGAGTTAATTTTAGTTAAGAAATTATTATACCAAGCGTTTTTAAGTTTACATACCCTCTAATCAGGAATGGGTTAGTTTAGAAAAACTCAGGCCAGCTTTCAGATCTGCTTTTCTCTTCTAATTAAGTTTCTGGTAGGGTTGGGGACCCCGACGTAAAAGTTGGGGATCCCGACGGGATTTTGGAATAACGATCCCGACTCGGGATCGGGATTGAAAAAACGGGATAATCCCGCCCGATTCCGACCGGAATCCCGATCCCGCCCAACTCTAGTTTATGGTTAACCGACTAATCCTACTTCAAATTACCAATAACAGATGTAAAAATTTAGTATGATTTATGTATCGCTTATTGGTAAAATTTTTAAATTCGATAGGTTGATTGGAAAAATAAATAGCACCAAAAAACACTTGATCTTATAATTTCTTAGCTGAAATTAAATCAAATTAACTTAAAAAATTTAAAAGGTTACTGCCATCATTTTTATTATTGTGGCCATTATACAATTTATTGCTTTAATTGTATTTTATATTAAAAGAAATAAATTTGGATTTGGCGATACTCAAGGGCTTGTTTCTATTTAAAAAAAGGAATTTTTGAAGAAATTAATAAAAATTAAAATATTTAAAAATAAATAATGTTATTATTTTTATTTTTTTTGTGTTCACAAACTTTCATTAAAATATAAAAACAATATAAACAATAAATTTCTGTCTCGTTTTCCTTTTAAATGTAAATCCCTTTAAATTTTTTAAAATAGTATTTAATATTTTTTTGTATGCACCACACGAATAAAATAAACTTTAAATAAAAAATTATTATTAGAAATTTTGGTTTAATTTTTGAAAATTCTAATCTCGTTAATTAGTTTTATAATTATTAAAGACCGCCAAAATCGATTTTCTCGGATCCGGATTTGTAACTTGATCCGGATAGGATCAATTCTTCCGGATTAACCCAGACCGCAAAAAACCCGGATTTGGGACTCGTACTCCGGTCCGGTCACTAATAATTACTATTTAGTAAAGTCAACTCATAGGGTCTACCTATTATATCTCTCAATGTAACAATTCAAATTCTTAAAATTTCTATACTATTGAGTAGAATTTCTATACTATTAATTTGCTGATAATATAATTGCCCCTCTCTAATAATTACTTCCTTAAGCAAGAGGTTGAAGAATAATTAGCCAGGGTAATTATTATACGTAGTCAACTGTCAAGTCATTTTTTGACTTTTTTGTCCTAATCTAAAAATTAAAATATAGAAAAGTTATAGAAATAAAATATAATAACATCGGCCTGATTCATAAATGCCAACCAGAGCTGGGCGAAAATAGAATTTCGCTCTCAACGAAACAAAAACGAAAATTTTTCGCCCATCTCTGATGCCAACCATAATTTTCAGTTCATTATCTATTAATAATTTTGTAAACATGATTCACCTAGCAGCATTTAAAATGCTTAGGCGGGGGTTAAACAATCTAAAAAGGAAAAAGAGATGCCCCGGTAGCTCAGTGGTTGAGCTCCTGCAGTAGCTCAGTGGTAGAGCTGAGCTCCTTAGTGGAAGGGTTGCGTCGTAATTGAAAATTTTTTTTCGTAATCGTAATCCCACTCAACCACCAACCAACAAAAGCAAATGTTAGAGAAAATATAAACACGTCTTTCTTTTTCCTTCAAAAATTTAATGGACAAAGTAAGAGTTGGGTTTTTCAGCAATAATATTTTTTCGTAATTTTTATTTTTTATTTTCGTAATTCTTAATTCGTAATTATGACGCAACCCTGCTTAGTGGTAATTATTAGTGGTAGCAATAACTAGCAGGTGGTACTTAAACTTTTCCAAACTTTCTATTTTAATATTTGTGAAAACTTTTTTTTTGTTTTTTTTATTATTTATTAATTCGATTGGCTCTTTTTTATTATAGAATTTTTATTTTAAGTAATCCGCTCATCAAATTTTTTTATGTTTTTTTATTTTTACATTTATCTTTTAATAAATTTTTAATTAAAAAATCTATTTTTAAAATTATTTCTTAATTTTTAAAATTTTGTTCCAAAGAAAGAGATAGGGTTAAGGAAATATACATAGGTACCGTAAAGCCGTATTAATGTCCCTCCCTAAATTAATTACCCACCTCTATTATTTACCCACCCCTGCGAGAGATCAAACAATAATTACCCAAAGTAATTAATAGTTTTTACGGTAATTCATAAAATTTAAAATTTTTTTTTGCTAAAAGTAGGCATAACAAATTCGAACGTTTTTCCCAAATACTTTTAATAAAAATAAAATTTTCAAACTTTATAAATTTTCCAAAATAGATTGATTTTTAAAACGTTCCTTTAAAAGACTTAATTTCATATTTAAATTTAAAGAATGATATTTATTGTTATAGTCAATTAAATATGTAGTTAATTTTAATAAAAATTAAAATTTAAAAGATTATACATGAAAATAAATAAATATTTATTTTCATATCCCTCACTTTATCTATCAATTACCCCCAACATTTAGGGGCCACCAATTCAATTCTTTTCTCATCAGTCAGCTGTTATATTTTCAGGACAAAAGAAAATATTTTACAATTTATTTGTCAAACTAAAAAAATTTTTTTTGAGGCTTTCTTGAAGGATTTAAAGATATTAGAGTGCCCTAAGGAATTAAATTGAGTTTTATTAGTATTTATGACTGAAAACTAACATTTTGGAATAAAAAAATAACAAAATACCACAACCACTGTTTTTAAAGGATTTTTTAAAGGAAAGGGAAAATGCAAGTCTGCCAGCTACTCTCTATTATTCTCCCCCTTTATTTAACTTTGAATAACTACTCTAACTCCCTTTTTTCTTTAAAAATAAATGCCGTGTCTCCAAAATGCCTCTGAAACAAAAAATATTTTTTTTTAACTTGAAAGCTGGCACTATAACGTTTTTTTCTTTTTTTATCTTTTTCTCTAGTTTATAAACAATTTTTTCTCTTTTTTGTCCCACTATAAACATTAACTTGGCCAGTAAATGGGGGGACGGGATGCCGCTACGTCTAAACAGTCATAACACATATAGATAAATATTTTTTAGTTGGTTGTAGCTGATGAATATATTTTTTTATAAATTAATAATTTATTCATTTACTAGATATTTGTGTAGATTTTTTGTAATATTTTTGTTAATTTTTACATTTTTTGTTAAAATTGTAAAATAAAAATATTTTTATTTTTAAATTAATCTTTTAATCAACCCTCCCACATATTTTTTTTGCTTTTTAATATTTTATACATTAATCCTTTAATTTATTTTTTAAATAAAAACATTATTAATTTAATATTAAAATTTAATATATTACTTCAATTCTTCTACTAATACAGCTTCAATTTTATTTTTTTATTGGAGATTATTTTTAATAAAAATTATTTTTATTTAATATTTTTTAAATTAATTATTTTATACAATTTAATATCTTTCATTTTTTAAATCTTATGTCTAATAGTCATTACGCAAGTGGACGGGGAAACGAAAAAAAATAGGAGGAAGTGGTTTTAATGAGGGGGGGGGGGTTAATTCAAGGGGAAAGATTAGAAAAAATTTTTAAATTAATAATTTACCCACGTGATTACTCGGACCGATACCATCCCCGATTGATACCATTTTTTGTAAATATCCAATCTTGGCAATTTTATTCCAATTTTTCTAAATTTTTCAATTCCTTTCTTATTTAACAAACATTTTCTATAAAATCCCAACCATTTTTAGTCAATACATACATATTATTAACTCCACTTAACGGAGTCCATGAAATGGCACAATAAATGGTCTTTAACACATATTGGAGGGTTTACATTTTATTGGGTACGTTATGTTTTGGCTGCATTAGCACTTTTATGGCTAACATTACTTGCATTAGTTTTTCTCCAACAAGACATTGCTTCTTGCCCTACAACGAAAGTACAGAGATTTACAGAATCAGGAGGTCAATTTAATTATCTTAATATTTAATTGCGTTTATGCTGAAGACCTTATCAGGGTCCACAAATATAAAAAAATTAATCATATAAAAACACCTATGAGGTACTAAACACTAGAGATTGGACTCGCAGACAGAGCTGTCCGAAAATTTTCGTTTCGTTTTCGTTTCGTACATTGGCGAATTTATTTTTTTCGTTTTCGTTTCGTTGAGAGCAAAATTTCATTTTCGGACAGCTCTGCTCGCAGATCGATCGAGATTTAAGATAGATAATTTGAAAAATCTCTAAATTTTGATAATTAATATATTTGGACGAGGTTTCGTCTCGATCTTATACCTAGTAGACACACAGCCAGCTTTTGAAACCTAAAAGCTGTTCTTACACTATAAACATACCTATCTGCTTTTAGTGCTGAATCTAAACACGAAGAAGCTAGCCCGTTAAATCAGACTAAATTAAAAAAAAGAGCTTATTCAACATAAAGTTTACGTTAATACTTCAAAATTATATATCTATTCCTTAACATGAAAATTTTTATATCTTCGACTAGATATATGTAATCCCTAGATATAATCCCACCTATTTTTATATCTTCGGCTTACTAAATATCTAACTTTTAGATATAGGACCACAACAAAATAATTTTCTACATCCAAAAAATTTGGAAGGGAAAGTTTGTTTTCATTTTATTAACGAATTGGAAAGATTAAAAAATGAGCTTATCGAATTACAAGAAGAAAATAAACAATTAAAAAAGTTGGCTAGCAGCCGCGATTTTCGTCCTGTTGAACCAGACCAATTTTTAATACATAAAGTAATCCAAAGTTTTTAAAAGAAAATAAAAAAAATAATTACAGCCGCCAGCAGAAAATTTAGCAAGTGATTATGGGGGAGCTGATACAGAGCTTAGAAAGGTTGCCCCACTTGTTGTTGCAGCAGAACAACGTTTAAAGGGACAGTTATATTCTAAAGAACATGAGGAGGCTAGGAGGAATCTTCAAAATAATATTTGGGAATTATTTTTAAGAATTAATAGTCAAGAATTTGGAAAATTAATTGGAAAAGCGAACACGGAAATTTTAAAACAACAAGTTAGTTTGTGAATGAAAATTTACGAGATAATTATGAATGAGAGAGAAAATAATTTTTATATATCCTCCTGAGGTGGATCGGAACAGTTAGAGGTGTCGGAACTCGGAAATCGGAAATCAAAATTTTGTTTGGAAAATCGAGAGAAAAAAGACGTCGGAAATCAACCCTTCTCTGATATCCCCTAAAAAAGATTTAAATTAGCTAAAAATCGTAAAAAAGGATTTTTGAGAAAGTTTTAGGAAAGAAATACAAAGAATCGTGTGCTTTTGCCCAGCTAACATTTTGTTTTTTAAAAAGATATTTAGCTTAATTGGCAGTTAATCCTTTTCTCGCGCATATAGATTTTTTATTTTTTAGCAAAATTAATGCTTGTAAAGCATAGAGCCAGTTTAAATTTTTATAAAATATAATTAATTCATTATTTACTAGTTTGAACACATTCTGACAGAATCTAAAATACTTTCTGTTGTTGATAGAGCTCCTGAATGGCATAAAAAAGTTTTAGATAAAATAGCTGATAGAATTAGAGAAAGTTTATTTAAATTACAAAATCCTTCTGATTGCAAAACTGCAAAGTTTTTAGTCTGTGAGGTAATTATTTTAATTAATTAAACTTTATTCTCGATATAACAGAGGCTTTTGTGGTCCTTTGAGGGTGTTATATCGAACTTCAAATGTATTTACCTAATTAAAATAATTTAATATTTTTTGCCAGTTAAATAAAGGTTGCGGTTTTGGTTGCCAAATACACCATGTAACTTATTGCCTTATAATGGCAGCAGCTTCTAATAGAACGTAATTTAATTTTCTATTAAATACTTATTTAAATATGTTTAAAGACTAGTACTTGAAAGAGACGGGTCTTCCTGGCGTTATTCTGAAAATGGTTGGAATGCCGCCTTTTTGCCCATTGGAAAATGTTCCTGGGCTAAACACGTAATTCTTTTTTAAAAATTTCTGATATACCGGACATCATTATGAGATACCTTTTTGAGGCAGAAAATAAATCTTAAAATTAGCTGTATCTTAAATAGAGCATATCGCTTGTCAGGCATTCATTTTGCTAACTATTAGGGTGGTCCATAAAAAATGCCCGTTGAGCATGTTTCTCTATGAATACTTCATGGATATGCATGTTCTATATACCATTCGAAAGCTTAATTCGTATCTCGTTTGACATGTTTCAGCGTTTTTTAAAAAAATTTGAAATTTCTGAGATATACACACGTAAATAGGATATGGTCGGATATGCCAAATCCGGATCCGGCTAAATAAATTTTTTACAAAAGATTAATTAATTTATTATTATTGCGACGATTTTTCTGAGCTAGAATAAAAAAACAAAATTGAAAAATCATGTGTCGGAGCAGAGATATGATTTTTTGAAAATCACATATTTTTAAACATTTTTGTAAAAAATGTGACAAAATGAGAAAAATTGGTCTTAGCGATCAAATAATTTACAAAAAAGATGAAAAATTCCCGTTTTTTAAAAATTCATATCTTGGGTTAGGAAAAAGATTTTGATCCTGAATTTTTTGATTCTGCCTCATAAAATTATGGTGAATGAAGGTATCTAATGGCCGGGACAAGCCTGAATTTTTCAGATAAGATCCGGATTACCCGAAACCGGACTTTTCAAAATACCGAGTTTCCGGGCTACTGTGCCAGGAAAACCCCGTTTTGGGCATGGCTCGGTGTCTAACTCGAGTATTTATCATTAGATGATAGTGAAATCTGACTGTTTATTTTTTCAGATAACAAATAACCTTCATATAGAACCATTTAATGGATTATCCCAAACTACCAAAATTGTTCGATTGCCAATAGTTGATGTTCTTACAACTAAACCAAAACAACTTCCTCTTGCATTTCCGTCCCAATTTTCTGATTTATTGCTCATACATCATTCAGCCCCTCCAGCCTTTTTTATTGGCCAATTTTTAAATTTTCTTATGCGGGAAAATGAAGAAGTAAAGAAATTTGTTTTGCAGGCAAAAGAGAAAATACCTTTTCATCTTGGTAATTTGCTATTATTTAATTTTTCTTTTCATTTAATTGGGGCCTTTTAATTATTGAAACTTTTCTACATTGATCTTTTAATTATACATTCATTGAGTATACTAAAGCATTCCTTATTTAAACTAACGTATTCCTCATTATTCAAACTGAATTCTGAACAGCTAGAAATTATTTGGCAATATTTTTCCATGACCCAGGTATGTGCTTCTCAGTTGTTTCAAATGCATTATTCTCAAGTAGAGTTGCTGTTTTCGAGTCGGGCCGGCGGTCGAACATTTTTTGGGGCTTGTTTTTATCGAGTCGGGCTTGTACGAGTCACTTTCGGGCCTAAAATTATTTACTTTTGGGCCAAATATCTTAGGCCGACTCGATCTTTCGTTCCGAGTCGGTCCATTTTGGCAACACTATACTAAAGAATCTAAAAAATCGGTGAAAATCCTGAAATCCTGACAAGAAAGCTACCTATCCAAACAATTCCCACTCACATTAAATAGTTTTATGTTTGATTTCAGTATTCCAAGAAATCTTCAAAATAAAAAAATTTAGAAAATTAATTCAGGTCCAGTAGTCGGTCTACAAATTCGACGTACAGACAAAGTTGGAACTGAAGCTGCCTTTCATAACTTAGAGGAATATATGGAATGGGCCGATCTTTGGTTTAGGATAGAAAGAAAACGTTTAAATTTCCCTTTATTGCCTAAACGTGTATTTATTGCAACTGATGATCCTTCTGTTATTACAGAAGCTAGGGAGAAATATGGAAGTAATGGATGGATGATATTTGGAAATGATGAGATAGCAAATGGTGGGGGTGTTTTTTAATTTTCATGGCATCTTCGAATTTTTTAAATTAATAAAATAATTAATTTAATCCAAAAAATATTTTAGCAGCAAAGCCAAATACCCGTTACACCGATCGCTCACTTCTTGGAGTTATTACAGATGTTAGATTATTAGCTGAATGTAGCTACATTGTTTGTACTTTTAGTAGTCAGGTAAAAATATAAAATATTTATTTTAATAGTGAAGAGTTGGCTGAAATTTTTTGGTTGTAGTATCGGATCGGTTCCAGACATTCAAAGGATTTTCAATATCCGCCAATTCTATTCATAACCTTTATTTTGAAAATGAAATAATTTTTGAAGGTTTGCCGAATTGGTTATGAACTAATGCAGACAAGAGTAGGTGATGCTGGTAATGACGTGCATTCTATAGATGATATTTACTACTTTGGTGGACAATCCGGTAATATCAAATTTAAAGAAATTTTTTTCAAGAACTCCCATCTAATTATTCTCTAATTATTCTCTTCCTCTCTTAATGGTAATTATTGAAAATTATTTTCAAAATTGAGAAAATACGAAATTTCATTATTTTTCGATAACTATTGAACTTGTTAGGTATTTGCCCGATAACTATTTATTTCAATATTTGTTACAATTCTCTTAACTTATTCTCATAATTATTTTCATTAAGCTCACGAAATGGAAGCTATTGATGGATTTAAAGCAGAAAATGATGAACAAATAGATTTAAATAAAGGAGATATAATTGGTTTTAAAAGATTATTTTAATAAAAAATTTTTTTAAAAATTTTAGGAATAGCGGGTAATCATTGGAATGGTTGGTCAATGGGGAAGAATAAACGTACTGGTCGTTCAGGCCTTTTTCCTTCCTATTTGGTACGCGAGAAATGGCTAATTGAAGACTTTCCTATTTTTGAGAAGTAAATACAGCCAAATAACTTTTCTTTTTTTATTTACTATTGAACTAAAGGATTTGATTCAGACTTGGTATGGACATGGGTTTTGGTATCCTGATATTTACGGAGGATATAGGCGGATATCCCAGGCATTTTAAAATTATCTGTATCCATATCCATCACCAAGTCTGGTTTGATTAATTCATGGACAGAGCGCGGTGGGGTTAACTCGGAATACCCAGCCCGGTCATTTTAAAAGGACAATCCGTATACGGGGCCCTGCAATCTGAAAAGTTCGAATTCTTTGTAGTCTACTTCCTTCCTCATTTTAAATCAAGTTTTGTATAGTCTAAAGTCGCTGTCTTGAATTAGCTTACTCATACATTAAGACTAGTTAATTGTATTTCCACAAGAATTTACTGAACTCTCTTTCGGTTGACTATATTTCTCTTCATCATTTTAAACTGTCACAAAATCCAAATATTAAACCTCTTTTATTTTAATATGTACTGGTCATTTAATTTCTCTAATTTATATATCTTGTCAAGTTTTATTAGGCCAAATTATATTTTATTAACTTTACTAATTTGCTCATTACCCAAAAATTATTTTTATATTCCTATATTACTTTAATATCTCTTTATAATTCCGTCCACTTTTAACCAATTACTTCCCGGTATTTTATTTGTACCCCTTCTCTAACTTTTTCATTATTAAAGCCAAAAATTAAAAAAATATTTATTAAAAAATAAATGATATTCGACGCCAATAAAATTCAACGGTAATATCTATGTATATAGCTAAAATTATTATAGAAAAATAAAAGATATAAAAATATTATTATTAATTAATTTAGTTTTAATAATTAGCAGCTATTTTCTTTAATAATTACGCTCTCTCAAATAATCACCTACGAAAGATTGAAGCAATAAATACTAGAGATCGAGCTGGGTCTGGACTAAGGTCTGGGATTTTCCTGTACCGAGTGTCCAGGCCTGGGCATTTTTTTACCTTCCTGGGGGTTTTCCTGGACTACAGGCACAGGATCCGGCCCAGGTCAACCCAGAGTAAATCGAACCCAGAGTCCAGGATATTCAACAGGCCCAGGCTTTTCAAAAATCTCGATTTCTAACAAATACCCAGGATAAATTTATTAAAATATGAAATCCTTGATATCTTTTGAGACTTTAAACATTTTATTATTTACATAATGATTTTTATATGTTTATTTTTCATTTTTGAATTGTTTAATTTTATTTATTTTTATGTAAAATAAATTTAGTTTTATTATTTTTTGTTGTTGTCATGGAAATGAGTAATGAATAAAACAACTTTTTTCAAGAAAAAGGATAATTTTATATTTTATTTTAAAAGAAAAATTAATAAATTTATTTAAAATTATATTTCTTTTTTTCAAACTAAATGTCCCGACGTAACGAGAATTTAACAGGAAATGATCAGAGAAAGGCATATCTACTTAAGGTTAAGGAAAAATTAAAAATTTTTAACACCTCCCTTTTAATCCGATACCAAGTTTATTTTAAAACCAACAAATTATTCCAAAAGCAATTTAAATATATAGGTAGCTTCACACATTCTTTCCCTCAATTTGACCGAAGAAAGATTGCCAAATGTTACAGCACTTAATAATTTTTGTTTGTCGGATGTCCCTTTACTGGCAATTTCTCGTTTGGATCAGGGGAGTATTAAAATTAAATTTTGCATTAAATTTAAAAATTTACAGAAAGGACATGTAGATCTAAGTAATGAGGTAATTACCTAAATTAAATTAGAGACTTTTAGTTAGGTACACACTATATTTTCTCTAAAATAACCCCCCCCCCTCTAAAATACATAGCCCCCTCCTCTATAGGTCGATCGAAAAATAGCTCCCAGGGGTTATTTTAGAGAAAATACGCTAGTTATTTAACACCCATTTTTAAGCCTAACCTGATTTTTAAAATTTTCTTGAAATTTTTGACCAATAATTATTTTGAAGGGTATCAAAAAGGGCTATAAAATTATTTTCAAATTTTATTAAAAATATTTTTGAAATTTTTTATCGGTTTATAGGATGGATTGAGGAAAATCTCTTCGTATCAATTTTATAAAATTGCCCATAAAAATTTTGTTTTTAAAAAGATAAATAGCCATCAAACAGCCCAACTTAGAGCTGTTTTCTACAAAATCAAAAATACTCCTCTTAGTTTAGAAGATTATAAAAACAATGTTTGTGTTATTAGTATACACAAAAATGCAAGTGAAACTTTACTTGGAACACTCAAACAAGTTAAATAAATTTAAATTAAATTTAAATTAATTTTTAAAGGTTTTCTCGAAAGTTTTAATTTCACAAGCAACAGAGTCTGGACAAGAAGCACGTTTAAATAATTTAGTTGGGGAATTAGAAGAAAGTTTGATTAATAGTACAGGAAATACTAATTTGGGCGGGAGAGAAGAAACTGGTAAAGAAATAAAGAAATAATCTTTGAAAATAATTTTAAGTGAATGATGGAATAAGTCGTAGGAAAATAATTCCAAAATTTGCACATTAAGAGTCAACAATAAGAATAATTTTTTGGATTATGGCAGGGTGACTTCGTATTAGGAGGCATTTGTCCCATTTTTGCCCTTTTCTGGAAGTCAACAAAAATTACGTCTAAATAAATTAGTTGGGGAATATATTTTCCTTATTTTATTATTTTTTAGTGAATTGAAGAGGGTCACTCGGATTAAGACTGTCCATATTTATTGCACATAATTATAAAAAGCACCGATTAATATCTAAAAATGCATAGTATTTTTCTTAATTTATTAATTTAAAAAGGAGGCGGAGTCGTTTCTTCTCTACGTTCAGAAATCGAGTTATGGCGTTTAAGGTCAAAAAGAGGTTCTGATCAAGCACAAAATTATTATGATGCCTTAGAACCTTTGGCAGAACATTTAGAAATTTTGGAAGTATTTTAAGCTAAAAATGAATCTAATTATTTTTAAAAATAGGGAAATGATTTGGATTTAGACGAGCTTTACACGGCTATTGAAGCAGCAGAACAGAGTGTGGATGCATTATGGAATCTGGCTGTTGATGAACCTTATCCGCAACAGAGAATGAAACAATTACTTAATTGTATAGGTGGAGAGTCTTTAATTTATTTATTTTAAGAGTTAAGCAAAAGTTCAGATACCGGTCATGTTTATCTAATTAGGCCCGTGCCATAAAAAGGAACAAATGGCAACGGTCATTTACCTAACCTCTAGGTCATGGCTAATCTTACGACTGTCTCATAGCAACGGTAAAGCCACTGGTTACGAGGCCTGGTAATTATCGCCTCACGATGATTATGCCCTATAAATCTTGAGCAGTCATCTAACCTCTTTTAACTAGCCAGATGTATTTCCATTTTTAAATGGGGGCATTCAGTTTAAACAATTTTTTGTAAGATTTTGAACTATTTGTAAAAGAAATTTAAAAAAAAGGTCAACTGATTTGTGCTTCCATTGTTCGTCGAATATCAAAGGAAGAGTATTTCCGTTCATCAGAATTATCAAAAACAGCTCTTTCATTAACACAACAATGGATAGATGCTGTTGAGTTGTTGACAGCAAAAAGTTGGCCACAAAATGGATTACATCCGTGGGAGGGCTCTCCCCATCAAATGGAACAATTCGAAAGATTTCATAAACGAATAGATGAGGCAATAAAAATTCATTAGAAAATTAAAAGGAAATTTAGGTATATTCTCTAATGACTCTAGGAGAACAAATTGTTCGTTTATTGGCAAATAGAAATGGACAGCAAGAAGGGTATAATATCTGACAATTTTTATGTGTAAATTAAAAAATATAAAGGTCCACCTCCTTACGTGACCAAATTCAGAAGGCAATAAACAATTCTATGGCAAATGCAAATCCTTTTGAATTTGGCCCTCATACTGAACAACAATGGAAATCTAGATTGACTGCCACCGAAAGGGCACTCGGTCCTTACATTGAATTATTATTACCTGAACTTCGTGAACGAATATTGGAGTCAGGCGGAAATGGTGGAGCAATGGGGGATGAAAGAGAGTTGATAATTGATGAATTACATCGTTTTAGGCATTTCCTTGCCCGAAAACCTGTTAAAGATAAATTACAGGTGGTTTGGGATTAAAAATTGCTCCCTTCATCTCTAGATTCCATTAACCATTCTTCATTTAATCACAGGCTGAACGTCAAACACTATTTGCACGACTTTATGATGAAATGAATTCTCAACAGCATAACTTTGAACGTCTTCTAAGTGCTTCTAATCTTCCAACTGGTAGATTTCTAACCGAAATTGCAGCAAAAATTTATGCCCTACGTGCTCAACGTTCTCAAGTGGATAAACTTCAAAAGGCCGGTGTCGCCTTTTTCGAAGACCTTCCGAATTATGAACGTTTTGAACAAACACTTAAGGAACTTTCAAAACAGTTAATTGCAGCGGAACAAGAACAGTTTGATGCTTGGTGTCGGGATATGATTGCACATATTGTAGATGGGGGAGGAAATGATGGGGATTTTATTTCTTTACAGGTAATATTTTTCTCACAAACATGGAATTCTCCGGAGTCAGGAATTTTCGAATCACTGATCGGTAGCTACCCTATATACAAACTTATCTGATTTTTTTAGACAACTGGACGTTTAATGGTCTTGGAAAGAGCACGTGGCATTCTCACTGTTAGTTTCAGTGATAGACTTGCTCGTTTGCTACGCGAAGTTTCACAACTCCAATCTATGGGATTTAAAGTGCCAGTAAAAATACTGGCTTGTGTCCAACAGGGAGAAAGATTCTACGAATATGGAGTGCTTTTGAAGCAAGTAAATACATACTTTTCTACCTCCGATAAAAGGAAAACAATGTTCGAATATTTAATTTAATAAATTATTAAGGTTGCTCATTTTTACAACACAATAGAAAAGCAAATGCTTCCATGCCAACAAGCAATGCTATTAGATGAGGCTTTGGCATTTGAACAATTAGTTGTACCATCTTCTAAATCTGGAGGAGATAGAAAACAAAAAACAGCTGTTAATTTAACATGGGAAAGTCCAGAAAAGCTGAAGGGATATATTGAACGTTTACGTGAAGCTGCCCTCCAATTAACTAGCCATAACCGGTCAGATTAAGCATAATTTTTTAAATTGAGTGAGTGAATAGGCGACCCTTTGAGAAGTGATTGAAATGATAAATTAGAGAGAATACGGCATTTGTCTCGAGCAACCCCAATTAAAAGCACAAATATCTAGCTAGATATTCCAAGACCCGTTCTCTCATTACCAGAATTATTTTTTTTTTGATTAAAAAATTACTTTTTAAAATTAGTCGATTACGGAAGGCACATACTGAAATTATTCAAAATATACTTGAATTGGGCGAAACAGATTTACTACAAGATGAAGAAAAATGGAATGCTATTATGCTCACTATACGGCAAAAATTTTTGGAAGAACAAAATTTTGTTGCAGTTAAGGCAAATATGCAACCATGGGCTAACCATTTAAATAAACAATTATATAAAGTTTTACAACAACAATTTTGTTGGGCATTGGCTAATTTACAGGCACTTCACCTTTTATTTAAAATAATTATTTAAATATTTTATTAGGGCCAAATGCCTGTACTTCATGCTCAACTTATATTTCGTGATCAGCGATTACAATTAAGACCTCCATTAGAGGTCCTTTAATTATAAAATAAGTACAGTCAGATATCACTTTAAGATGCCCCTAATAATAAATACTAAAGTTCTGAGCCAGGCTCTAGGGGGTTAGACTCAACAAGGCTCTAGAGTTTCAGGGCTAAACCCTGAAAAACATGAAATCTATCGGGCCTGCCATGTTCCAAACCTTAATAAATGCACCCCCAATCGAACGAACATCTTTTAAATTTTTTGTCCACTGAGTGATGAAAGATACTTGGGCAATTTAGCACTATTTAGGTTACACTTCATTTTATATGATAATATTTTTCCTGAGTCATTGATGTTTTGAGATTCGAATGATTGGATATAATTAAAAAACAAATAAAATTTGAAGGAATTACGTCAAAACTTTTATGGAGCTCTTCGTAAATTACTTGGAATACCTCTAAGAATGCGGGGAGTTCAAAATACAGAGAATGAATCCAATCTTTTTGCTAGTATAGTTAGCTGTGAATCAAGGCGTTTTCATTCATTATATGAGCGTTCAGAACAAATATTTTCGAGATTAAAACAAATTGATAGAGAATTTGATGAATGGACAGCTTTGGCACAGGTGTTTGAACTGCATAGAAAATATTTTGATAGATTTTTTAAAATTTGAATTAGTAAAGGATATAAAGAACAGCGTGGAGTGGTAAAGGTTTTTAATTTTAGGTAAATCTAGAAGAATTACTTGAACAACATTTAAAAGAAGCTGAAGATTGGGAACGTCAATTCCGTGTTATCCGGCTTAAGCAGCGCGAACTCGATCGCATTCCTATGGAAATTTGTATAGAATGTATTCATGTCTCGACTAATGGGGTTCGATTATTGGCAAATGATTTGTTGAGAAGGTATCAGTTGAAATAATTTACCCTTCCAAGAAACTAGTAAAGGATTGAATGGTGTTGATCTTGAGCTCTTTCTACAGCGTATTTGTTATCCGGTCATCCATCCCTCTCTACAATATTTAGCTAAAAATTTTACAATCCCTCTTATCCCATTTGACTTTTATTCGAATTTTCAATAATTTCCTATTAGTAAATGCAGTTTTTATTGAAAATTTTATTTTAAGAATGCATGATGCATTGTGTTGGACGCTTAAACATTCGATAAGAACAGAACTGTCAGTATTAGATCAACAATTGACACAAGGTATTGAACAACTCTCTGCTTTACCCCAAAGTATGGAGGAAGTATCAGAGGCATGTACAGCTCAATTAACTTTGGCTAAGAGTGTTTCTAGTTTTAGAACAAAAGTTAATATTGCTGAAGAAAAAGATCAAGTTCTCAGGTTGAAAAATTATTCTCCTTATAATAAATCCTCTTCACTAATTCAAATTATCCAGATCTTTATTTGGCAGCGAGCAAGGACTCGCAGATACTGTTAAACAAACGCGTGAACAATTTGCGAATTTTCTAAATTTATTAGAAACTCATGAATTAATGATGCGTGATCAAGTAAAAGCTATGAAAGGAAATGTTGGAGCATCCATAAAGACACTTGGGGAGGAGCTAGAAAAGCTTCATTCACTTTGGAACCAATTTAAACCGCGTTCTGAAATATTTACTTCTCAGGTGAATTACATAAAAAGCAAATGTGTTTGATTCAAATTTAGAATAAAGGATTATTAGATCATCTTAGGAATACTTATTTAATGTTGAATATAAGCCCCTAGAAAAGAAAATTGTTAAAATAATTTTAGGATGACCGAATGGCACTTATCCGTGCTGTGGAATTTATTCGAGAAAAACGTCAAGAATTTGATAAAATTTTTGTTAAAATTGAAAAAGTAAAAGTTGAATGTGAGCAATTTGAAATTGAACAACCCGAATGGCCTCTTCTTAATGAACTTAAAGTTGACCTGGAAAATTATGAATCAAATTATCTTTTGTATGAGGATTTCAGTAATGCCCTCCAACCTATTTCTGATCAGGTAATTAACGAAAAAAGTTTTCAAAAATTTCCTATAGGAATGGATACTTTTCCGAAGCAAAACATACATTTTCGATGAATTTTTACAACAATGGCTTGAAAAGCTGAAATCAATTCAGACTAGTAATGTATCTGTTAGATTACAAAAGGATATTGAACAAATGCGGGAATTCTCTATTAATCTAAAATTTTGTCGTGGAGATATTTTTAGTGCAGATCATTGGTGAATATAAATAATAATTTACGACAAAGCTTGGTTTAAAGTTGGGAAAGTATTACAGGCATTGCAAGAAAACAGCAAAACCCTATTTATAAATTCACTAAAAACAAATTATCCTAATAATCAACACTATCTTTTAGCGCTGACTAAGTCTGAGCTTAATTTTTAGCTTTGGAAACTTTCAGCTTTGGAAACTTAAAATCTCCAAGATTGGATTTTGTCTTTAAATAATTTCTGGACTCAATTTTGTCACTTTGGGAATTCCCAATATTTTTACTTTAAAAAATTAAAAGGCTTGAAATGTTTCGTTTACTTGGTCTTCCTCGCGGTACTTCTCTTGAAAAGCTGACATTTGGAAATCTTCTTAATTCTCAGCAAAAACTAATCGCAAATTTGGAAAAATTAAAAGAATTAAATGCTCGTGCCCATGGGGAAGTTAGTATTCGTGAAGCAATACAGGAGCTTGAAATGTGGGCAGCACAGGCGGATTTTTCATTAACAGACTACAAGTATCAAATTAAAAAATTTTTAATAATATTTTCTAGTACATAGAATCCTTTCCCTCATACTTTAAAACCTTACCACATACTAAAGGGATTAATAATTAACTTAGGGAGAGTAATTCGTTGAGTAAACCTTGAAAACCAAAAATTCTCACAAAGATCAATCTTAAAAATTTAAAGTAATATTTTTCTCGTACAGACATGCTAGCGGAGCATCTCTCAAAATAGTAAAAGAATGGAAGCCTATACTTAATCAAGTTCGGGATAATCAAGCTTTAATATCGTCTCTTCGAAATTCTTCCTATTATGCCCAATTCGCCGAACAAATAGGCATATGGGAAAGAAAAATATCCGATTTAGAATTATTTTTACACCATCTTAGTGAAATACAGCGCAAATGGGTATATTTAGAACCTATCTTTGGGAGGGGTTCTTTGCCTTCAGAAGCAGCACGTTTTAACCGAATAGATGCTGAATTTCGGATTATTATTAATGATATTTCAAGGTGAGTTTAGTAAATGGATTTTTTAAAAATAGGGATGGATATAAATTAAATACATAATGGCATTCTTATAGATTTCGTATGCATTTGGGATATAGCCAACATAAAAATAGATTCCCGATTTCTGTAATCTTGATTCCAAACTAAAACTTTGCGAACTCCCGATTTTGTATTTTGAGGAATTGATGCAGCTAGATCCCTGTTACGTATATCTATGAATTTTAAGTAAACTAATCAGAGCAAATTTTCTAACTTAACTTTTCGTGGACATAAATTGCTGATCTTAGGTAACCCAAATTTACCTAATTAAATTGAGATCACTGGGAGCCTTGAACAGATAGTTCAATTCTGAATCTAACTTGACATACTTATCAGACTTGACATACTTATAATATAATTAATATTTTAAGAGACAATCGTATCATTTCATTATGTTCTGGAAACAGTACAGCCTTGGGTCGAACTTTGGAACAATTAGTCGATCAATTAAACAGATGCCAACGGGCTTTAAATGATTTTCTTGAAGAAAAACGAGGCGCATTTCCTCGATTCTATTTTCTTGGGGATGATGACCTTCTTGAAATTGTTGGACAATCTACAAATCCAACAGTTATACAATCACATTTGAAGAAATTGTTTCAAGGTGATTTAAAAGTTGAATATTATGATTAAACCAGTATTAAAGGAATCAACAGAGTAGCATTCGATACACAATTACAAAACATTCGTGCAATGATTTCTGCTGAAGGAGAGACAGTTCAACTTATTAAACCGGTTCAAATAGTGCCAAAAGTTGAAATATGGTTAGAGGCTTTGAGTGAGGAAATGAGGAATACGTTACAAAAATTGGTAATTAAATAGTCAAGAACTTTTAAATGTCTGATCTGATAAATTAATAATTTTTTAAAAAGGTTGTTGACTGTCTTCATGAACGTTCATTAGACCCAAGTCGATATCCTTCACAAGTTTTATGTCTCTCCGAACAAATCAGGTTCTGTAGCGATGTCGAAAAATGTCTTTCTAATGTTGGGGGAGATCCTACCGAAAATTTAACGGCATATAGACGTCAATTAATTAAACAACTTGAACAATTGAGTGGGTCTTCTACAGATGACCCTTTAGGACAGTTAAAACTGAAAGCTCTCGTATTGGATTTGATTCATCATATTTCAATATTAGATCAACTTGTGGTTGCAGAAAATAATCAGTCAGTTATTTGCTGGACGTGGAGAAGACAATTAAGATTTTATTTGGTATGATAGAATTTAGGGAATTTATTTTTACTTGATTTAGTATGTTTTTAGATGGGGTTTTAAAAAATGATTACTTTCATAAAAATTTAATAAAATTTATCAGGTTTCTGGTCTTGTTATTGTCCGCCATGCTGACCATGAATTTAACTATTCTTACGAATATCAAGGAAATGCTCAAAAATTAGTTAATACACCATTAACTGACAAATGCTACCTAACTTTAACACATGCACTTGCTATGGGATTGGGAGGAAATCCTTATGGCCCTGCTGGGACAGGAAAAACTGAATCTGTTAAAGCACTTGCTGGACTTTTAGGAAGACAGGCAAGGAAACTCAATTCTCAATTTTTTAACATTAATTTTCTCTTCTGTTCAGGTCTTGGTTTTCAACTGCGATGAAGGCATTGACGTGAATGCTATTAGTCGCATTTTTGTTGGGCTCGTTCAATGCGGCGCCTGGGGATGTTTTGACGAATTCAATCGCCTTACAAAAGGAGTTCTTTCTGCTGTTTCTAGCCAAGTCCAAATTATTCAAGAAGCTGTCCGTGTCCGTGCAAGCAATTGCCAAATAGGAGATCATTCTTCTGTTCCAGTAAATGGAAATTCGGCAATTTTTGTTACCCTCAATCCAGCAGGAAAAGGTTATGGTGGTCGGCAAAGGTTACCAGATAATCTAAAACAACTTTTCCGTCCAGTGGCTATGTCTGTGCCAGATAACGAATTAATTGCAGAAACTCTGCTTTTTTCGGAGGGTTATACACAAGTATACATTTATTGGGTTAATCCAATTTTTGAAAATTCCTAGGCAAAATCTCTAGCTAAAAAATTAGTTACAACATTCTCACTAGCATCTGCAATGCTGAGTACTCAACAACATTATGATTGGGGACTTAGAGCCCTTAAAACAGTATTAAAAGGATGTGCAGATTCAATAGCTAAAAGAAGACAAGATATTAAAAGTCAACAGAAACAACAAAAATTAACAGTTGAAGAGGAAAGGGAACTTATTGTTCAAAATTTACATTTAAATACAATGTCTAAACTGACTTTTGAAGATGCGCAGCGTTTTAGAATTTTATTGGAAGATATTTTTCCGGGTGTGCCAAATCGAACGGTGCTAATTTATTTATTATATTGAAAGTCTCTTTGAATCTAATTAAAATTGAATCTTGTTGAGGTCCTAGAAAAAGAGGCAGGTCGATATGTGGGAGTACCACAAGGATTGAATTTATTCTGATACAACGGGAGTTAATCTACAACGGGAGTCAATCTATTTTTTTAATAGGAAGAGTTGCACGACTTTTGAGAACCGGACCTTTTAGGATAGGTAATTGACATGGAATTTAGCATAATGTTGGTGATAAAATTGATATAAGAGAGGATCTAATTTGTAAAAACAAAATTATAATTAAGTATCCATAAAATGACCTCATTTCCATCATTTTAAATAGAAATGAGTCAACCAAAGAATTATTTAACTCACTTCTATTAAATGTGTTTAGATGCAATTTGATGAACTTCGTCCACATTTGGAACGTGCTGCTCAAAATATGCAAATAACTCTAAGTATAGTCCAAATGCACAAAATTTTTGAACTTTATGAACAATTACGTCAAAGAGTTGGTGTAATAATTGTTGGGCCACCAGGAACTGGGAAATCTACACTTTGGCATTTGCTACAGGGAGCTCTGTCTAATAGTGGTTTTCAAATGATCGATGTCTACAAGTAAAAAATACATAGCTAGATAAGATTCACTTAAATAGAGCTTTTAAATAATTTTAAAGAATGAATCCAAAATCAATGCCTCGTTCACGACTTCTTGGAAATTTGGAACCAGACACTCGTGAATGGACGGATGGAACACTAAGTCAAGCCTCTCGCGTTGCAACTCGAGATCCAGGGAAACCTGCTTGGATTGTTTGTGATGGAGATGTTGATCCAGAATGGATTGAAGCTTTAAATTCTGTTTTGGATGATAACCGTTTATTGACTTTACCTTCTGGAGAAAGAATACAATTCGGTCCAAATGTCAATTTTATTTTTGAATGTGTTGATCTGAGTCATGCTTCTCCAGCAACTATCTCCCGTGTAGGGATGATCTTATTGAGTAGAGAAGATTTGCCCTTGAAATCTGTTATTGACAGGTAAAAATAATGTTTTGGGTTGAGGATCTAGTAGGGTTTCAGAAATTGAAAGTCGAAATTGAGAGTAGATCATTTACTATTATGCTCAAGAGATCTAATAAAATATCAGAAAATAAAATAATTTATTCCAAGATTTATTGTACAATATGGGCATTCTTTACCAGCCCAATTGCCTGATTGGATTAACAAGCATTTAGTGCCAGCCGTTGAATGGACCTTTGAACATCTTAATAGGGACTTTATTTGTAGCCAAGTTGGTAAGTATATTGTTAAAATAATTTAAATAATTATTTAAATAAATTTGAATCTCAAAATACAGTCGGATCTCAATAAACCCTTGAAATTGAAAAATTCAGTCTAACCATTCGGTACCCACTGTCAGTACCTAACTAAGTCAAAAATATTAAAAAATACCTATTTTTTGAATTAAAGAGTAGGTGCTTTATTTTGGCGTTAAAATTGTTGACTGTATTATAAAAATTTTAACTAAAAATTCTTTTTTTCAATTTAGGTATCGTAAAAAATGTACTATCACAAATCAGATATATCCAAACATTAAATCAATTTTTGGTTTATGTTCTGAGAACTTTACTTCCTTATATTGAATTCGATTCTAGAAACGAATTTGCTGAACGTGTAGTATTTAATGGAATATCTTTGCCTGATCCAAGAGCGCCTTTGAATATTTTTGCAGATTCTCGTAGTGATATTTTGATGGCTTATAGTGAAGATGATGGAAATGTAAAGAAATTTATCTAATTTTTAGAAAAAATATTTTGGGATATCCAACTTTCTCATTAATCTTATCTTGAATAGAGACCAACCTAAAATCTTACATGAACTTTAAAAATTATTTTTCACAGTTTTCGATCACTGAAAATTTTCTAAAGTGTTCTCTCTGTTCCAGAGTATGGAAGTTTGCTGAATCCATACCCAATAATGAGCCAAGAATAATAGAATATAAGGGGATACTAATTAATTAATGTTGTTAGTCCGGCCGGACAATATTTACCGCTCACTCCTTACGAGCGATTAAACGGGTGATGACAAGTTCCACCTATCGGGCAATAAATAATAATGATAATTCACTTGATTGATTGACGGACTGCCTAATGGACTGATCCTTCCTTCGCTTATTTCCAGGATTATATTGTTTATGGATAGGCAGGGTCGTTGGGAAAGTTAATTTAATACATATTTCTCAATCTTATTTCCGCTTTACAATATAGTAGAATGGTCTCACAGTAAGGGTGAATCGAGTTATCCAAAATTTGAACTTTTTTCGACCCGAACCTCCGACCCGATAAATAGTAAAAATTTTTCTATATTCTCAATGTGACCCATCTCTGTTTTACGGTCGAATTTCCTTATTTTCTCAAAGGTTCTACAATCCTCGATAGATTTTTATATGAATCACTTTACCATCAAAATAACCAAAAATTAAATTAATAAAATAAACTCGACTTTACATATTTTATTAGATTCTAACAACATTTGATAATTTAAATATTTTAATAAGTCCAAGAATGCAAACAGCTAGAGAAACTCTTCTTAAATGGCTCCAAATTAATAAAACCCAACAAAATAAAATAAACGAATCAGAAATAACTTCTTTTTATCCAAAATTTGAAAATATTCTTTTATTAGGGCCAGATGGTTCTGGTAAAGAATATTTGTTAAAAAGTTGTTTTGAAGAAACTGGGATATTACAAAGAACTTGTCTTTTAACAATGCATTGTGGAGCACAAAGTAATGCTTTACATATTGAACAATTGGTCAGTTTGAATTTTTTGGTGAAGGAAAAGATATTTGAATTACTATTTGGAAATTAGATATTCTAATAATAAAAATGCTTTTTAGATAAGTTGATAGGTATTAATAGAAGGACTGTCCGCAATTGAAAGTAGATTTTCCGCAACCGCAATCCGCAGTTCGCAAGTCCAAAAAACATCCAATTTCACGCAATCCGCAGTCCACAATCTTCAGTTGTGGACAGCCCTGATTGATAGGCTCTAATGGATTTTTGAAATAACTGTCTACGATATAAGAATTAATTAACACTAAATATTAGGGTTGGCCATTATCAGAATCTCGATACTGATTACTGACATCTGTCAGCCCTACCAAATACTCTTATTGTTCATATTTAACATTGATATACGGTATCCCCTCCACAAAAATTCGGAGACCAAAGATTCCACAATTTCTGGCTTTAAATTAGAGTTGCACGAGATCGAGATTTTAGAAAAAATCCGAGACCGAGATTGACCGAGACCCGCATGACCGAGACCGAGACCGAGATGCAAAATTTGACCCGAGACCGATATCGAGATCCGAGATAAACCGAGATTTTTCAAAACTTTTTTTATCCACCAAAACCCATTTAAATTAATTAAATATCATCTAAATCATCATCAAAATCATCTGTTTCATCAGAATCAATTTCAGTTGGTGGACCAAGCAACAGTTTATCCATATTTGCCTTTACAACTAGAATTTTTTCCACCATTTCTCCAGAAAGACTTAAGTATAAAGGGTAGGGGACATTTCTGAAAGTTATAGCCGACTTTTAAAAATTTCAGAAAAAGATTATAACCTTAAGAAATTTCGAAGAATAGGGTAAGGAATGGTCCCAGGTAAGGAATGGTCGCGGCGACCGTAGCGAAGCGGCGGCCGTCGTTCCGCTCGACATGCCGGGCTTCCCCCGCAGCGGCAAAAACTTTTTTCCGCGAAGATTGATGTGTATTCGGCCGCGCTTTTTTGTCCTGCTCCGCTCTCTAGACAAGTAAATTAAAGTGAGCACAACAATATACCAATAGCGAAATTTTAAATATTTTGTCAAAATAAAAATAAATCTCAAGAAGGTCAATCTTTAGGGGTGTATACTGATCTCGGATCTCGGCGAGATTAAGTGCCGAGAATCTCGTCTCGGTTAGGTGATCTCGTCTCGGCAAAACCGAGACCGAGATTGGAAAATGGCCGAGATTCTCGTCTCGGTCTCGGTCGAGATATCGATCTCGTGCAACTCTACTTTAAATCCCAAAAATCCAGTTAGATATTTTGGACAAAAATCTTGTCAATTTTTGTTTTTTTGCAACATTTATTTCAATTATTTAGTTGTTAGAACATTGTGTTCAAGTAAGCGGCAGTGGAGGTTCAAGCGGTCGTGTGTTAAAGCCGAAAGAACATGAACGATTATTATTACATTTAAAATCTCCAAATCTTTCTGCAACAGATATTTACGGCACTTCCCAATTAATTGCTTTTCTTGAGCAAGCATTGGACTACAATGGATTTTACGATAAAAATTTGGAATGGATTGGATTAGAAAATGTCCAAATTATTTTAAACGTTTCAACTGCAAGTGGAGCAGAAAGATTTCCTTTACCAGAAAGGTATCTAATTTTAATACGATAAAAATAAGCACATAAAGGAACGAAGACTGATAAACACAAGCTATAAGCACAAATGGGGATAAACAGAAAAAGGAGCGAGGTTATAGCATATCAAATACACAAACATACATATTATATCATACTTTCTCCAATTGAGCGGTCGTCTCCAGTTGAACGGCAATATTCATTAGAGTGCCCTTTGACAGGGGATTAAAAGATAGGGCGACCGGCCACTCATGTGGAGAACTATCTGTTTAATCTACATCAGGGTGGCCTTTTTACCCTATTTATAGAGGATTTCCCCTATTTTTGATCTTTTCGCCCTTTTTTCCCTATTTTGTACAATTGCCATATTTTGCCCTATTTTTATCAATTTTTAAAATTTCAAGATGACGACAGTCATCTTGACGTGGTTGTGGTCGACGACGGTCATCCTGACGTATTCGTGGTCGACGACCGAGGTCGTGGTCGGCGACAGTCATCTTGACGTGGTCGTGGTCGTCGACAGTCATCTTGACGAGGTCGTCGACCGTGGTCGTGGTCAACGACTGTCATCTTGACGTGGTCGTGGTCAACGACCGAGGTCGTGGTCGGCGACAGTCATCTTGACGTGGTCGTGGTCGAAGACATTCATCTTGACGTGGTCGTGGTCGACGACCGTGGTCGTGGTCGAAGACAGTCATCTTGACGTGGTCGTGGTCAACGACGGTCATCTTGACGTGGTCTACGACGGTCATCGTGACGTGGTCGTGGTCAACGACGGTCATCTTGACGTGGTCGTGGTCTACGACGGTCATCTTGACGTGGTCGTCGACCGTGGTCGTGGTCTACGACGGTCATCTTGACGTGGTCGTGGTCGAAGACAGTCATCTTGACGTGGTCGTGGTCAACGACGGTCATCTTGACGTGGTCGTGGTCAACGACGGTCATCTTGACGTGGTCGTGGTCTACGACGGTCATCTTGACGTGGTCGTGGTCAACGACGGTCATCTTGACGTGGTCGTGGTCTACGACGGTCATCTTGACGTGGTCGTCGACCGTGGTCGTGGTCTACGACGGTCATCTTGACGTGGTCGTGGTCGAAGACAGTCATCTTGACGTGGTCGTGGTCAACGACGGTCATCTTGACGTGGTCGTGGTCTACGACGGTCATCTTGACGTGGTCGTCGACCGTGGTCGTGGTCAACGACATTCATCTTGACGTGGTCGTAGTCAACGACAGTCATCTTGACGTGGTCGTGGTCGACGACCGTGGTCGTGGTCGATACAGCTTCATCTTGATCTGCTCAATTTAGTTAAAACTATTCGAAAACATGCGGAATAAAGATTTTTATTCAAAATTTTAATTATTTTTATATTTTTAAAATAATTCCAATTTTTTGCCCTACTTTTGACCGATTTCGCCCTATTTTTTCCCTATTTTTGAGTACCTGCGCCCTATTTTAGTGGTTTGGAAAAGGCCACCCTGATCTACATTGAATTTTTGGTAATACAACAGAGATTTTTTTTGAATTTGATCAAACCGAATTTGATTTCGAATAGAATAAAAAAGGTGATAAAAATTAGCTTGTATTCAAACAAATATTTGATGGGAGGAATCCAAGCTTAACGAATTTAAATTTAATGAATAAATTATTTTTATAAAATTTTTTCTTAAATAAACAGATTTGCTTCCAAACTACGTGTTCTTATTTTGGATTCACCAGATGAGAAAGAATTAAAGTCAATCTGTGCTACAAATCTTCGGCCATTTTTTGATTCAAAAATATCTAAAGGAGGCTCTAACAATTCTTCTAGTAAAATTGAAATGATTGTCTCAGCAATGGCAACTACTTTTATTAAATTAACTAAAATATTTACACCCAATGAACATTTTCATTATGTTTTTACTACTGGTGATTTGTCAAATTGGGTTTGCAGTTTACAACGTTATGATCTTGATGAGGGTAAAAAACATTTATAGTATTTACTTAAGTTTTGGGTTTTTAATAAAATTATGACCGTCTCGATTTAATGGGCAATGTATGGAGGTTGAAGTTATGAATCTGTATTATGGAAATTTGCAAGTTTCCGTACACATTGATTACTATAACAAAGTAAATGAAAATCGGCTTTTGTATGATACCGGAAAAATTTAAATGCTGGAGCCGGAGCTCAACTTTCAATCCTCATGGCTCCAGCTAATACCTCTAAATATGTGAGAAAAGGAGAGGAAAAGGAACGGTTTGGTTATAAAAATTTCTGAGTGTTTTGATGTTATATTTAAAAAAATGATAATAGTATTTCCTTGCGGAGGAAGAAGCCGTTGACTAACATTATCTTACCCGAATAACTAGAAATTTTAATGATTTGGTTCAAGAATTATAAAATTAATTTAATTTATATTTTCAGCAGACACCGATCAACTCTATCAATGTCTTTATTTTGAAGCTCTTAGAATTTTTTCCGATCGTTTAATAAGTACTGAACATCGTTTACAATTACAAACTATTCTTAATGAGCATCTTCCTCTACGTGAAAGATCTTTAATTTATGCACCAGTGACAGGAATTTTAACAAAAGAAAACAAAAAACGTGGGGGCAAGTCTATGCAACTTATTAGCAAATCAGATTATTCTTCACAACTACAACGGGCTATCAATCGGTTGAAGGCTGATTATGAAGAAGCTATTTCTTTGCCTATTAGTGATATATTTATGGAAATGTGCCTAGCTTTGGACAGGCTGGATAAATTCTGAAAAATAATTTTTTAGTTGTTTTTAGAGCTCTCACATCATCAGGAGGATCAGTTTTGTTGGCCGGACAGTCAGGAATTGGAAGCAGAGCTGCGATTGAAATTATGAGTCAAATGCATCAAATGAAGTAATATATTAGATTCAAAAAATCAAAAATCGGACAGTCCCATTTTTCCCACCAATTCAAATCTCTTAAGATTCCAATCTTTCAGGAACAAGCTCCTAAATAGGATCTGTTACCTGATTGAGAAGCACTTATTTCTGAATATTATCTGAGTAATGCTCATTGAGAAAGCAATCTTCTCTTAAGCAAATACACTTCTCCAAATAAGAGGGCCGAAGCTCTAGTTATAAGCCCTGATTATACCATTATACCGGTAGATCTGGTTATACCCCTCAAATATCTTGTCATTATTTATACGATATTTCTTAAATGTTAACTTCTAATTTACTTAAACAGACTTTGTAATCTTCGTGTCTCCTCTTCTTACTCATTGCGGCAATTCAATCAAGACTTGAGAGATGCAATTCAAATGGCTTGTGTGGATGGTGAACAAGTACTGCTAGTAATAGAGGATTACCAGTTGCTTGATGAATCATTCCTTCAACACATCAACTCTTTGATTGCCTCAGGGAATGTACCAGGATTGTACAATAGTCAACAGGAAGTTGACTCACTCCTGTCCCGTCTGAGGTACTTGGATTATATCAAAACCAGTCAAGTTCATTTTTAAGAGATTCTGCAATGGAAGAGGGGTTTGGAGGAGGGGGAAGTACAACAGGAAATCTGCATGATTATTTCGCTTACAAAATTCAGCAGAATGTTCATGTAGCTATGATTATGAATACTGGACATCAAAAATTTGCATCAAGGATTCTTTCAAATCCGTCGCTTTATAAGCGATGTAATATTGTATGTAAATTCAACTTTAATTCTGGTAAATCGAAAATCTTGGCTTTCCACGATTCGTGGGTCACTATTCCTAGTGATAGCGACTAGTGAATTCTGGAGCTTGTATTGTGAAAATTAATAGGGAAAGAAGCATGCTAGTAGATAGAAAACACATCCATCGGGAGTAAAGCTCTTTGTTATCGAAACTTTAAAATTGAAACCGCTATTACTTGAAATATTTTTATTATTACCTTTTTTAATACAGATTTGGCAACCAAATTTATCTCCTGAAACGCTAAAACAAATTGCCGAATTATCTCTTATACAAAAGAAAGATGATTCAGACAAAAATGCACAACCGCCAGCTAATTGGTTGTTACAATCATTTGTTCAATTATTTCAATTGGCACCTTCAGAAAGTCAATCACCCGAACGTTTTTCAATTTTTGTAGAAAATTTCCATCAACTTTTGTCTGCAAAAAGGGCAACAATTGAAAGACGTGTAAATTCTCTTAGAGGGGGTGTTACAAAATTAACAGAAACGAGAACTGCTGTTGCTAAACTTCAAAAAAGGGCAGCTAAAAAATCAAAACAATTAGCTGAAAAACAGGCGGAGGCAGATTCTGCACTTGCAGAAATAACTAAAAGTATGACTAGTGCAAATGAACAAAAGGCTGATATGGAGGGATTGAAAAGTGCTACTGAAGCTGAAAATTTGAAAATTGAGGAGCAGAAAAAGCTTATTGATCAACAATTAAGCGAGTTGAGTTTTTTAAGTCATTTTATTTGTGAATGAGAAATTCGGGTATCCTGAGACAATTGAAAGACGCGTTAAATTATGGGAAAATCCCGGAATGGAAATATTCTCTCGGTGGTATTCCTTTCTCGGAATACATCTCTATTGTGTTTTTCCTACTAATACGAGCCTTTTATTACCTTCCAACGCATCTCGGCAAGATAGGTCGAATCATACCAAAATTCACCTATTTATTACTAATTTTTAATTATTATTTTAGGTTGAGCCATTGTTAAAAGAAGCTCGAGAAGCTGTTGGTTCAATTAAATCTGAAAGTTTATCAGAAGTAAGAAGTTTGCGCGCTCCTCCAGAAGCTATTAGGGATATTTTACAAGCTGTTCTGTTTTTTATGGGTATTTTAGATGTTTCGTGGGAGGTGAATAAAAATTCTTTAAAGTTCTTAAAAATATTTTTAAGGCAATGCGAAAATTTTTAGCCAAAAGTGGTGTTAAAGAAGTATTTAAATTTAAATAACTTATAAAAATATACTTTTTAATATTAGGAAATAATTAATTTTGATGCCCGACGAATATCACCAGATACGGCAAAACGTGTTAGTGCTTTAGTCAAGTCAAAGGCAACATCCTTTGATCCTAAAAATGCTAAGAGGGCGTCAGCAGGTTGGAGTTTAAAAATGAATCGAAGTTCACATATCCCAAGCGTCAAAATTTTGTGATCGAGAGATGTCGAAACTCTTGGTCTGAGTCTTGATTCAAGACTTGGCTTTTATGGTCTTGGTCTCGATTTGATTCCATAATGTTTGGAAAATAGTTTTTTCGGGAGTTGATATCGATAATCACAAGTTTTCTACAATGACAAATCGACAGATAATCTTGAAACCAAAAAATTTTGCGAGATTAGCATCTCACTATTATTTATTCTTGAAAGTAGCTTGGTCTAGAGTCTTTGAAATCTTCAGTCTCGGACCCCTTCTAGACTCCAAAGTCTAATCTCTAATTTAACTTTTATTTCTTTAGCTGCCGCCCCACTAGCAGCATGGGTTAGCGCCAATCTACAATATGCATTAATTGTAGAAAAAATTGCGCCGTTAGAGCAAAAGAAAGAAACTCTTGAACGTAATTTAAATGCTGCAGAAAAACAAATGGCCTCCTTATCAAAAGGCTTAAAAACTGTAGATAAACGAGTGGAAAGTTTAAAATCAAATTTTGAAGTTTATATGAAAGAAGCAACTGAAATTAAAATTGGGTTGGAAAGAGAACAGGCAACTTTAGTTGTTGCGAGTACTCTAGTAGAGAGATTAGGTGATGAATACACTCGTTGGCAACAACAAAGTAAACAATTAGAAACAGAATTGGCAACAATTGAGAATTGTTGTCTTTTAGGTTTTGTTTTTGAATTATTATTTAAAGACCCGCTAGCCAAATAAACCTGAAAATTGAATTCGGGGGCGGGGAACGGGTGGTCTGGAGGGGGGGAGACCTCCCCCCATTCTCCGGGGAATTCCCTGCCCCGTGGAACGGGGGTTTAACCCTACTATAAAATGAAAAACGGGGTCTAAAAAATAGCCGAAACCCGGGGGTGATTAATCTGTTGTGATAACCTCAGATAAAGCACATAAAGATTAACCAAATCTTAGAGAAAATTCTCAATATTCATAGCATGAGAACAAGTGATATAATATTATTTGATATTAATTTTGGGAAAAAATTTAACAGAAAGCACCAGTGTAGTCAACAACGTCTTCAAACTTTATTTTAAATTTTATTAAGGTGCTGCCTTTCTAACATTCTTGGGACCCAGCACGGAAGAAGTTCGAACCCGTACAATGCAAAATTGGCAATCGCAATTCCCTCAACTGCCTGAAGGATTCGATATTCTTCGCTTTTTATCAACAGAAAGTGAACAATTAAATTGGAAACAAGCTGGAATTCCTTCTAACCGATTAGCTCTTGAAAATGGAGCTATAATTTTCCGAAGCAAGCAAACACCTTTTGTGATAGATCCAAGTGGAACTATTGCCTCCTTTCTTTTTAATTACTTCAAGGAAATAAAAAAAGCTGAGGGTGGAGCTCAATTACTTGTTGCCAGTCAGTCTGATTTAATGACACAGGCAAGTTATTTTTTTAATTTTATAATTTAGAAAACCAAATCGTTGATTAAAATAACATACATATTTTCTCATTAATTACCCAACTTCTATAAATTTTCCATATTTTAAACAGCACTACTATCCTTAATTAATAATTATCGTAAATGCTCTAATAGAAGCATAGTCTCTATTTCAAGCACAGTCTCTAATATAAGCACACTCTACGAGAGGATTGAAAAATAGTATTTATCTTATATAACAATGGAATATTTACATAGCATAGGGATATATTACAAAGGGACTTCAATTATTAGTTATGTAACAGTGGTGTGCCAGTTTCGCGTTTCACCTTACGCGGATTTTCGCGTTTTTTTCGACTTTACCATTTCGCGTTTTACTTTTTAAATTTAATTTTGCCTTTCGCGTTTCGCTTTATAAAATCTGTTTCGGCACACCTCTGTTACCGTAAATGCTTGAACAATTAGCCTCTCTCAAATAATTACTCCTTTTAATACAGCGAAAGATCGAAACAATAATTACCCCCTCTTTTTCATACACAAAATTTAAAAATATTGAAAAAATCATTGTAATTTTTAATTATTGAAACATTTTAAGACATAATATCAAAAAATAAATAGATTTCCTTCTCGATCTATTGAGATATACCCCAAATTTAGCACCTCCTCTCGATTAATTACCCCATACAGCGAAAGATCGAAACAATAATTACCCAGAGTAATTATTTGAGCATTTACGGTATGTGACAAAGGGTTTCAATAATTTTAAAAAAATTCTCTAACTCTAAACTTCAATATCTTCCAATTTAATTTCAATATCCTCTTCATCTTTAATCATTTTAGTAAACTCTTCTTCTTCAATCTCAATTTTATGGGTTAATTTACACAATTTAATATCCTCCAAATAATTAATCTCAATATTTACCCATCTTTTTACAGGATTTTGAACTTTTTTTACTTTTTTAAATTTTTTATTCTTATTAAAATAAAATTGGTTAAAGTTGAAATCAAGAGAATAATTCTCGAGTAATTTATTAAAAGGATGTTTAATTCTATATACTGTAATTCTTTTAAATTCTACACCAGTCAAAATTAATGGTTTTTCATTCAAATAAACATTAAACACTTTGACTGAAAATTTTTATTTAATTAAATATTAGTGGGGATTAGTGGGGATGAAACTTTCATTTCCGTCTTTTTTTGACTCTTCTAGATACTCTTTTTTTGTTTCCCCTTCTCCCGCCTTCCATTTTTAAAATACCGCAGGCCCCATCCCTGGTATGTAGAGGGGATCCGATTGGGGTAGGAAATTGTTATAAGGTCAGGTTTTCGTATTTTCTCCTTGTCCAATTAATTTGAAACTTTCATAGAAGTTTATAAGGTGATAATTATTTTTAGGGTTGCCGTTTTCGGTTCGAGCCGACGTTCGGTGCATTTTTTCGAGCTTGGATTTTTTCGATTTGGTTCGTTTTCGAGCTTTTCGAGCTGAAAAGCCACGGCTCGCTCGATTTTCAAGTTTCGGTTCGGGCGAGCTGGCAACCCTAATTATTTCCATAAACATTCAATAGTCCTCATAAACCTTCTATGAAATATTATACCTATTTTAAATTATAAAATCGTAGCATGAATAAATACGAAAAACTACATTTTTTTTCCAAGTTCTATCATTAAAATCTCGATTAAGGTATAATATAAAGGTATAACTTTATCGGCTAAAGGGTCATCTTATTATGGAGTTTGGCTGTAGTTTTAAAAATATAACCTGAATTTCTTGTTGAATTTTTATTTTTTATTTTATTAAAATTTGTTTTAATTGTTTTAACTTTTACTCCATTCAATTTGTACGAGCTTCTTTTTACCTTATTTAGTTAAAATCTGTTACAGTAGTATCTCAATAATATAATACCCTAGGAACCAAAGCTTCGGACGTAGGCGACGCATTATCGGAAATTAGTATTTTCGAGGTCCCACTGTTTTAATAGTTGTCATGGATGGACTGTCTTCCGCTTTTTTACGCTTCCGCTTCCGTGTTCGCCTGCCGTAAGTTATTTTGTCCGCTTATTTAGCCTTCCGTTTTTTGGGAAGGCGATCCCGTGTCGGGATCCGTGATCGGGATCACTATTCCTAAATCCCGATCCCGGGTTTTTCTCTAAATCCCGATACCGCTTAACCTCTACCTGGTAATAAATTAGAAGAAAAGAAAAAGTATTGGGAGAAATAGGTATATATCAAATACATACTTTGATTATTTTCTGAAAATTTTAAACAAATTAATTAAATTAATTTTTAACAAAGACATACACGCAATTGCACTTCATCAAGTTCAAATTCTCTAGATAATTCAGTAATATCATATTTAGTGTATTTGAAGCCATAAATAAATTTTTCTAATTTAATTTCCTGAAATTTTCTTTAAATTTTAAAATAAATATAATCATTAAAAACAAACATATTTTGTTAATTCCATTATCTTTCCACCTATTAAATTTTAAAGTTTTAATCTAGTTATTTTCGTCTCTAGTATAGGGCAAGCGTCCCATGAACCTTTATGCGTCCCATGAGAGAATCATCATAGTACATACATGCGTCCCAAGAAGATTGCGCCCCAAATATATGCGTCCTAAAATTAGTGTGTCCCTTCAGAGTATATACGTTCATAAAATAGTATATGCGTCCCATCATATAACACTATAATTGATTACTACAATTTTTCATGACTTATGAATGGACATTTTTTTTGTTATGAATGGCCAACATTAGTCAACAATACAAGACAGCCGATACCCCTATTCTCGGCTAGCCAACCCTATTTTAAATTAAAAGTCTTATTTAATATTGTGTGCGCCATAGTGATATTTGACAGCATCTTGTTCGAATTAAGAAAAATTTTATACTAAAATTACCTTCCAATTCAATCCTTTCCTTTAAATTATCAATTTCTTTTTTAATTTTAATTTTTTCGTCTTCATTCTCCACTATTTTAATATATTTTTTTAATAATTCTATTTTATATGCAGCTAAATTAATTAATGTCCAATAGTTGTTTTTCAATTCCTCATTGTAATTTTTTATTTTTTCCTTTGCTGATATTTTTAAATTCATTTTCATATAATTTTTAGACTTTTTATTTTCCAGAATACTTATTTCACCTACTAACATTCTTTTAATTATCTTAAATTTAATTTTTTTAATACTTGTAAAACCCTTAGGAATTTAAAGATTCACCCTCTTTCTCAATTTTTCGTTTCTCAAAAGACGCAAAACGGTCAAACACTATTTTCCTAGAGGTTAGACCATTTTGCGAATTTTAAGGAAAGAAAAAAAGTGAGTAGAGGTCAAGCTTGTATTTTTATTATCTTGGTTTGTTCATGCTGGGTTTCGCGGAAACTAAGGCCAGCCTTAGTTTATAAACCTAGCCTTATGCTCTAAGTGTTAGATGCTCTTTGTAGATGCTCTAAGTCTGCCTTTCTACCAGAGGTGTGTCGGAATTTCGATTTCCGATTTCCGAAAAAAATTTTGATTTCCGATTTCCAAGTTCCAACTTATGAGCCAGTTCCGATTTCCGGCTCTTCCGATTTCCGACACCTCTAACTGTTCCGACCACATCTGCTTTCTACAAAACAATTTATAAATAAAATTTTTAGTATACTTGTTTTGGTAATGAACTAATTATTTCATCGACTATATTGTTTTTAGCTATTTCTATTTCTGGTGTATATCTATACTTTCTAGATATTGAATAATAATTTTTATCCTCCTTTGTGTTTAAATATTCTCCAATCAAATTTTTAAAAGAAAAACGTTTTTCGGGGGTTTTATTTTTTAAATAATTATATTCTCTCGTTTTTAACCAATCCGAATTAATTTCTACTTTGATTGTTGTGGTTATTCTACCGTTTGCAAATTTGTTATAATTTTCCAAATAAATTATAAATAAAATAATGATTATATGAATATTCATTTTTATCTAAATTATTGTTAAAATACACCTTTGGGGGCTGAAAAATTGTATCTTATAATAAGTTGTATTTTAAATATGGAATATTTCTTAAAAAATAAAATTAATAAATAAAAAGCACTTTAAGGTAAGTTGTCCTTTTTAAATTTTTTCCCTATAATTAAAATGAGGACACATGATTAAACGCTCTATAAAAAATTTTGAAATATATTAAACATTGATTTGTTATAGGTAGACATGTATTAACATAGTTTGGTATCTCCTAACTCTCTCTTAATATCTCTCTCTCTCTAATCTCTCTATCTCCCCTAATTTCCCTCGATCCCTCTTAACGGGGAGGGAGGGAGGGGGGGGGTTGAAGTCTTACGTTAGTAAAGCAAGCTGGGCTATAGCTATTTCTCTCCTTTATGCTGTTGCGGCAAGAAATAGTATTCAAATGGAGTAGAGACAAAATTGCGTCTCTTCCTTCCCAATGCTATTTTTTGCCGCAAAACGCAAGACGTTTTTATGTAAACAGCATTAGCTTGTGTAAAAGATATAAGACGGCTGGAAGCTAACCAGCATCTCCAGTAGACCGGACTGATATGTTATTCATTACGCATCGCCTCCTGCACAGCCTTAGGAATTAAATAGCTATCTCTGGTTCAAGCATAATTGCCCACCCCTCCGCATGTGTCGATTGCAACAGTAAGTGTCGGATTCGAACATATCTGGCCGCAAGTTTCAGCCGTAAAAGTCGGTCCGCATCTGCCACAATGCCCTTAAAATTCTTAAAATAATTTTTGGAAATAGATACTATGTATACTATAACAAAAAATATAGAAGTAAAAATTTCTTAATTAAGATTGAATTAGGCGTTCGTTTTGGGAAAACATTAATTGTCGATGAATTAGACAACGATATAGAACCATCACTAGTTCCATTACTCCGTCGTGAGTTTAAAAGTATTGGAACTCGATTGACTGTTCAATTGGGAGAAAAGCAGGTGCTCAAAATTCTTTAAAATTAAAAAACATTTTGTTAAAAGGTTGATTTCAATGACAAATTTCGTTTATTCCTTTGCACTCGGAATGAACATAACCGGTTAGGTGAACATATTCGTGGTTCACTCACTGAAGTTAACTTTTCTGTCACTCGTTCTGGCCTTGCTTCGCAACTTTTAGGCTTAGCAATTCAAATAGAACAGCCAGAATTGGAACGTAATTCTGCTCAATTAAGCAGTCAAATGGAAAGCCTTCAAGTACAGCTTGACCAAATTGAACAAGTTTTATTAGAGGAATTAGCAAAATCAGAGGGATCTTTACTTGAGAACAACTCTCTTTTAGAATCTCTAAATCAGAGCAAAGAAAAGGCTGAGAAAGTTGCAAAAGTAGGTTAAAAACATGAAAAATCATTCAATTTTTCATTAGGGAATAGTCGAATCCAAACGGCTCCGTGCTGAAATTGACTCGAAACGTGAGGCATTCAGACCCTTTGCTGAGCGTTGTGCTCAACTTTACTTTGCCATACGTCCATTAAATAGTATCAAATCTTGTTATCAATATAGTGTAAATGATTGTATTGCTTTGTTTCGAAAATGTTTTGATTCTAATAATGTAAACGATACACGGCCTAAAACAACTACTGGGTCAGAGGAAGGAGGAAAAAGTCACTTGGAAAGGTGAGGTCAATTATGAGATTTTGAGGAGTGGAAATAATGATAATTTTTATTTTTTTGGGAAATCAAGACATTTGAAATTGGAGAATCTTTGTCTTTCTAACAGAGATTCTCTCTTGCCTATGTCCGATCTCGTTTAAATGTCCCTTCCTTTATTATGATTTCTATTTAACTTTTTCAAAGGATTTATCGCCGTTTGAGACAAAAATTGTTTGAATATATTTCACTTTCTTTGTTCAAAGAGGACAGATTGACTTTTGCAATGCAATATTTGCACCAGGAAGCTGTTTCTGGAGGAGGGGGACAACATTTATTTGCCCCAAAGGAATGGGAATTGTTTACTGGTGTTTTACAATTACCTTCTGAAAATGTAGGAGAAAATGTATGTTCTTCAGAAAAATTCCCCCTTCAACTATTCAAATTTATAGTATAGTCAATTATCCCAAATTGGATGGCTGTCAGATTATCGTGATAAAAAACAAGCAATTGAACTTATTCGAACACATTTGCCTTCTCTTTTTCAGCAAATGCAGATTAATGATCAACAGGCTTGGGCTGGTTTTATGAAATCGACTGAATGTGAAAATGCATATCCTCCTAGTATTAATTCGCGTCTTAGTGATTTTCAGAGAGTTTTGATTATTCAGGTGTACTTTTCTTTTAAAATATTTAAGGAAATATTAAGACTAGTTTATGATGATAATGCGGCAAAAATGAAATGCACAAATCGGTGAATTATTAGACCACTGATTTTTAGAATCAAGAGAATATGACTTTAAAATTAACCTTTAGAGTGGCTTATTTTAGGAGAAAAATAATCTAATTGCTAGTTAGGATCATATGGCGAGTTTCATTATAAATAGGAGTTGACTGTATATTTATTACAAACTTTATCGTTAAATAACAGGCTCTCCGCCCCGATCGTCTCCATGCAGGAATAAATCGTTTTGCATCAAAAGTTCTTGGAATAGAATCTCTAAGTTCTCAACATTTGGATTTACTTGCTATACATAAAGAAGAGCCTTCTTCTCGTCCAATTCTTTTGTTAGTCTCCCCTGGCTCTTCTGCTGATCCTAGTGCCGAATTAATTGAATTTGCTAAACAACAACAAAGAAAATTTCATCAAATGGCTTTTGGCCAACCTGGGACGGAATCTATTGTTTTACAAATGCTTAGACAGTGTTTTAAGGACGGGGATTGGATTTGTTTAAGTAATGCACATTTATCTGCCCCTTCATTACTTGGGAAATTATTGGTAGAAATCTCGGTGAGAGAACTTTTTTAGATAAATAATTTTTTTAACGTTTAACTGAATTATATCTTCTAATAAATGTGGCTTCTTTAGATTTATAAAATCTAAAGATTAAATCGAAATGAGACCTATGTTAAGATTATTCGAGATATCAATCCTGAATGCCGAGAGATGTTCAAGACCGTTCTCTGAAGAGATTAACTGTCTGACACACATCTGCCTGGCATTTATAAAAACGATTAAATAGGACCCAAAATTAATAAAAATTAATCTTGATTTTCATTATCTACCTTTATCTTGGGCCGAAAATTTTATAGATTTAAACTGAACGTTTAACATATTTAGTAGAATTCAATGCTTTTTTTTAAATAATTTTAATTTTAGTCAACAATAGGCCAGTCAAATCTAAGTAAAGGAGAGTTTCGCCTTTGGCTTACAGCCGAACCCGAAGAACAATTGCCTGGAGTATTTTTACAAACTTGTGTGAAAATTACATATGAGACACCTCCCGGTATTAAACAAAATTTGGAACAAAATTATTTTGGCCAAGAAATGGAAATTGCCCCGAAAAGTTTATCTAATTTAAAAGCTAATTTTCTTTTGCATTGGCTACATGCTGTTATACAGGAAAGAAGAAATTTTATTCCTCAAGCATGGCTAAGGTATATGGAATATTTTTATAACTCAAGACTTTATTGAATCAAAATAATTTTTACGCAATCGGGCGTTTTGGCGTCGATTTTTAGCCAATTTTGGCATTCTGGCGTTTGGCGCGTTTTAAGAATTTAAAAAATTGGCGATTGGCGCGCCACGCGGAAATTTTGGCGCACATCCCTGATCACTCCATACGACGCCTCAATTTAAGATACGTTTTGAAATCTAGTTGGTCACTGGCTCGGAGAGCGTCTGAACGATACCCCCTGCCTAAGGCAAATTTTCATCATATGATACAATTTTCTCATTCCAAATGTCTTATGATGAGATAATAATTAGTGTTCGGCACGGTACGGTATACCGCGGTATTTTTCCCGGTATACCGCGGTATTTTTTTCCGGTATACCGATACCGATACCGTACCGGTCAAATTTTGAAAAAAACGGTATTTTTCGGTATCGGTATTTTTTCGGTATACCGATACCGAAACCGTACCGGTCCTCAAAAAAATACCGCGGTATTTTCCGGTATTTCGGTATTTGTGAAATTCTCAAAATTTTCGCCTGCGGCGCTGAAAAAGGATATATAGGGGCCTTCTATAGGGGCATTCTATTAGAGGGGGCATTGTATTTTTCAATTATCCTTCTGGGGCATTCTATTAAAGGAGGGTATTCTAATGGTGGGGGCATAGTAATTTTCAATCATCCTAAGGGGACATACTATTAAAGCAGGGTATTCTAATGGAGGGGGCATTGTATTTCTCAATTAGCTAAATGTCGAGCAATTGTTGAACATTTTGCTCATTCAAATCTTGCCTATGATCGATTAGAAGAAGCTCAAGTCCTTGAGATTGTTAAGATTTATTGTTAAGATTTTAAAAATAAAATTTAAAAAATTTTATAAAATTTTTTAAACAATACCGAATACCGGCCGGTATACCGAAAATGTTGAGACGGTATTTTCCGGTATCGGTATTTTTCCGGTATACCGATACCGTACCGGTCAATTTTTGTAAAAAACGGTATTTTTCGGTATCGGTATTTTTTCGGTATACCGATACCGAATACCGGAAAAGGTCATTTGCCGAACACTAATAATAATGTCCTGTACTGAGGGATGTATCTACTAAACAATGAATACAAAAACTTCACATTTTCAGATTTTATGAATTTTCTGGTGCTGATTTGCGCGTTGCTAAAAATTCATTGGATACACTTTTCGCAAAAAATACTTCAAATTCAGACCCCCTTATCTACTGGGAACGATTTCGTGGACTTATGTCCAATGCTTTATATGGAGGAAGAATTGAGGCTGAATTAGATAATCGAATATTATCGGCTTTTCTTTTAGACTTGTTTAATCCTTCAATAATTGAAGGAAAGGATGGGAACATTGAATTGGCAAATGGATTGAAAATGCCTAATTTTGGGAGACATTCGGTCGGGTTTTCAGAGCTAATTAGTTGCCTTAATTGAAGAAAATGAAATTTTAGGAATATATTCATTGGGTAGAAACAACACTTCCTGTTGTTGACAGAGCCGAATTGTTATACCTTCCAAGAAATATTATGCTTTCCTGGGATTTGACTCAAAGCACTAATGTTATTTCCAAACTTCGCCTCCTTTTTACTTCAAAAGAAACTTATCAACGTTTACAAGCAACTTCAACTGGTGGCCCTGCTGCAATTGCTTCTAGACAACAATTAGCTGACGCTCTTAATCCGTTATTAGGATTATGGAAAAGATTGAATCAACAAAATCCTGGCCTGTTACATGCAGCTGCTGAACAGAAGAATCAGAGACCTATATCGGCAGGACAGGAACTAAAAGGTATAAAATGAAGAGTGTTGGGTTTTCATTGTTTGTGAACAAATCTCATTTGTCCTTATAATCGTCCTCGATTGACCTTAAAGACTACAACCTGACCTTAAAGACTATACCCCCCATTAATATATTCCTCATTGGCTCATCTTCTCAGACTTATAAGTTATGATATTTTCAGCCTTAAGTGAGTATTTTATTTGATATCCAACTATATTTTCACTTATTTTTATCATTCCCAAGAAACATCACCATCATTTGGAAGACGTACTGGCGATGATCCTCTTGCAGAAATTTTACATTTAGAGCTTGTATTTGCTCTCAAATTGATGCAATTTATACATACTTCCTTATCTGCTTTAAGTCGAGCTATCAAAGGCACTCAATTACCAGAAAAGCGTATAGTAGAAATGGCAAAAGAATTGATGCATTTTCAAGTAAAAATTTTTTAAAAAAAATTTCAAAAAAATTTTTCCAGGTCCCTTCATCATGGGATGCCCTTTGGAGTGGTCCACCAGTTCCCAGTCAATATTTGGAAATTCTTATTTCTAAAGCAAAAAGCACACAGTTAATGCTTTCTTCAGCACGGTCAAATCAACTTCTTGGTTCTCGAGTCAATTTGGCTCATCTTCTCAGACCTGGCACTTTGTTAAATGCTTTTAGACAATATTCAGCAAGGTGTGAGATTTAATACACACAGACCTCATTTTCTGATACTCCCATTATTGGATACACATCTCTTTAAGATATGGACTATTTTAATTGGTTGACTACTAGGTGAGGGAAGCTGTTTACAAGATACTCTCTATTTAAGTACCTCTCGTTATAAGATACAATTTTTCTATCCCAAAGAGTATTTAAAAATGAGATTCGACTGTAAAAATATTAAGTTAATTTAATCTTTATAGAAAATTAAATGTTAGTATGGATGAATTAATCTTATCAACAATTTGGCAAAATGATCAAAATAATATTACGCAACCAAACGATATTCCAACTTTAACACTTTCGAATTTACGCGTACAGGGTGCAATATTTGATGGAAAGGAGCTTAAATCAGTTACTGCAAATACTCCTTCATTCACTGAGGCACCCGCATTGAAGATTTTTTGGAGAAAAGAGGTGTGAATTTTAAAAAAGAATTTGGAAAAGTTCAAAAGAAGTTTTAAAATTTTTAGGAAATAGGGGAGCAAACACAATTCAAAGACAAGCAACAATTATCGTTGCCAGTATTTTCTGACCTGGACCGGCGTGAAATGATATTTCAAGTGGGCGTTACATGTCCAATATCTTTACAAAGTTCTTGGATTTTGGCAGGAGTTGCTTTTTTCTTAAGCCAAAATTAATTTTAAATTAATGTTGAATTCACATATTATCATTATTAAATTTTAGTGATTTTTTATTTAAATATTTTTAAATTCTGGGCATATCTTGACATAAGATAAACATAAAAATTATTTAATTCCAAAAACGAAGAATAATTTTTTACAATTATGAGACAATTCGTTTTATTAGTGTGTTAAGATTGAAAGATTGTTGATCCGATTATTGTTGATCCGAATAACCTGCCATCTTCGATCTAGCTATCTTAAGGGTGACTCTAATAAAACCTGACACATTATTAATGACATGCCTTTATTCAAATTAAAGATAGTGAGATCAACTAGAGCTTAGATAACAAATATACCATCATGTTTAATTTCAAAAGAAACCTATTCATAGGGTTGATGGTTAAGACAGAACCGACAACTTGAGATTCTTAGGCTCGTTTCAATTTCCGAAGATTTTCCGAGAACCAACAACCATGGTTAATTGACAGGTGTAAAATTTTAAAACAATTTTAAACAAATATTTTGAAAAAATTCTGGTTGGTTGAATAAATAAATACGTCATTATTTTATTATTTATAAAGTACATATTTTCTTAGCACGTACGCCCCGTCGTTGCCCCCTACTCTTTTTTAATTTTCAAAAGCCTGTAACTCGAAGTCTGATTAACGGATCAGCTTCCCCCACACCTATTTCGATTCGGTTTTCGAAGAGCTTTCGAATGAAATATGTATAACACTCCTATATTCGACCTCTGCAAAAAATTGTCTTATACTTCTCCAGAGAACGTAACGTAAGAAGATCATATTAACATTAATGTATTAAAAGTACTAGAAACAGAATGTTTTCGTGATCTTGGAATTATTAATTATACAATATCATATATAATTATTAAAAATTTATCTAAAACGTTTTAAAATAATAAGAATCATTAATGTCCCGACACAATTTTTTTGTTTATCTAAATAATAATTTCATTTTATTTCAAACATTTATAATAATTTAATAAAAAGCCAGCTGAATTTTTTTACTTTTAAACATTTAATAATTATATGTTTATCATAATATATTCGTTAATTTTCACCTGAAAAAATAATTAAATATTAAAAAGTTTATAAAAGTTTTTTTTGTTTAACACAATAAATGGTAAATAAAATCTTGACGTGCTTGTCTAAATAATTATTTATTTTATTTAAGCAATTAGTATTGTCGATCTTAACATTAAAAAATAATTTTTAATGTAGTCAAAAATACATAAATTAAAATTTTTTATTTAAAATTCCAGCATTTGCACCCCCTGAATTGGTACTCCCCCTAAATAATGCCCCCCACCCACTTAAATAGTATTCCCTATACATATTTGAAAAATTAGTATAACAAAGGAAAAGATTTACTTTTTGTGTTATTTTATTTATTCTAAGCAGTACTTTTTAGTTGTATACAAGTGAATTTGGACGGATATCAGGCATTTGTAGAGATTTTGAAGGATTAAGTAAGGGTGATATCAGTTATAGGATCAGACATGGGCGAAACTCAAAATTTTTCGGTCTAAACAAAACGAAGCAAAAATTTTTAAAACTCGTTTCGTTAACGAAACGAACTCAACCATTTTTAGGAATATCACCCAAAATTAGGCTATAAAAATAGTTTTACTTCGAAACCCGTAATTTAGCCTTATTTTATAGTTTCAAGATTACAAAACCTAAATTAAATATACTATAATAAATATTTTCTTTTAATTTTATTAAAATTTTTCCCAAAAATGATTCAACAAAATTACTCAACATCATTGGAAAATTATCGTCAAACTGGAGATATTTGTGCTTATTTAAACATAACAAAAACAACTAAAACTGATTCAGAAAATTTAGCTGATAAATTAAATACTTTAGATATTTATCAAGGAACAAATAAAAGTTTTTTAACAATTTATCTGCCAACAATTGAACATCAATTAATTGTTGGAGAATGTTCCTATAATTATAGATCTAAACAGATGAATGTACATATAAAAATATTTTTTTAATTAAAATTTTGATTTAGAAAATTAATAGTATTTATTATTAAAAATATACTTGAAATATCAGGGCATGGCCCTGACTTTTTAGAACTCCTTCACTTTTCATGAGATTAAGCTCAGATACCAGGCAGCAGATTATAGCAATGCTTTTTAACGAGATTCCTATGTGAACCTAAGCAACTGACACGACCAAATGTGGAATCATGCAAACAGCCCGATCATTTATCCTTTCCTTATTTCTTAAAATTTATCAATTTATCAATAATTTGTCAATAAAATTAAACAAAATTAAAATTTTAGACACAAGCTTATTACAATAGTACACTTTATTATTATGATGAATTAGGTTTTATTAACCCAATAGTTCCATGGATGGTTATTCCAGGCATATTTACAATTATTTCTATAATTTTAAATATTACTTTAATTTATGTTTCAATTCGAAAAATGTATGTTTCTTTAAAAAAATTTCAAAAAATTCAAAATTAAATTTTAAAGTTCAATGGAAAGAATTTGCAATTTATTAATTCTTTTCGATGCTTTTTGTCTAATTTTGGCTGTTTCTCCTTTTGGTTTAAATTTTTTAGCTTTAATTTTAAATTTTGTATCAATTGATTGGCGTGTTTGTTTTTATTTTCATTTAATTTCAACAATTGGTTCGTATTCCTCTTTTTTGGCTATTTATTTTATTTCGTTGGAAAGAGCTTTAATTATATTTTTTCCAACAAAGTTTGTGGTTTTAATTTAAAATTTTTAAATTATGGAAGATAAACTTCAAAATTAAGACTAACAATTTTAGTGTGAGATATAAATCACTTAAAGATTTGATCTTGGGTCTGAAAAAATATTGACCATTTTTACCTCTTTTTTAGAATTTTTGGACCCTTGTAAATCAGTTAAGGATGTTTCAAAGACTAGATCTGGCTTTCCTTCATCCAAATTCAATTTAAGAAAATTTTAAAAAATATTTTGAAATGAGGATATTATTAAGCATTAAAAGAGTTTTGAGTGTAGTTTATTTGAAAATTTAAAAATTAATGGAAAAAAATTTTTGGGTCTTTATGTACAAAATGTTATATTAAAAAATTTTATACTTAAAGATATGTAAATTTTAATAATTAATTTTAATATTTGAAAAAAAATCAAAAATATTTTAACCTAAATTTAAGAATACACTTGATTGATACATCTACAATTCACCGTATTTCTTTTTTAATAATTATTATTTGTATTATTTTTGGAATAATAATGTCATTAATTCAATTTAATGTTTGGACAATACATAATCTTCCATTTTATAAGTAAAATCTTAATTTTTAATTTTAAATAATAAATATGGTAAAATTGAACTTTGTCCCCCTTTCCATCCTCAAATTAATAAAATGGTCAGACAAAATGTTGTATACTATAGTTGGGTCGGAACATTCAGAGGTGTCGGAAATCGGAAGAGCCGGAAATCGGAACTGGCTTAAAAGTCGGGAATCGGATATCAAAATTTTTTTCCGAAAATCGTAATTCCGACCCACCACTTTCTATTTCCAATGATCCAAAAATTTTTTTATGGTGACAGGAAGACCTACACACCCAGAGTTATGTTACACACGTGTGATTCTAAAAAGTGGGGGTTCTAAATAATCACATTTAAGCCTGATTATTTTTAATATTTTGTGGGAAGAAGTGGAGGGGGGGGGGGAGGGAGGGGGAACGAAGCTTAATTACAACAAAAATATATTTTTATTTTAGATTATTATATTGTAATTCTGGTTTATATTCTGATGTTTTAAATTCAATTCCCGCCTATTTTATTTTGTCTGCTTCTTTTTTGAATTATTTTTTAATTTATTTTTCAATTTATTGGCGTTATTTAAAATCAAAAGAAAAAAATAAAAAAATAAATAATCAAACTAAAAATCAAAATAATTCTTCAATTCCCGATCCAAATCTTCGAATTCTTCGTTCAGTTTTTGTAATTTCTTTTATAATTATTTTTGGTTGGATAGTTGGTTCTGCTGCAAGAAATTCTGTGACAACATTATGTAATACTATAACTACAACTTTTTCTAATATTTTTAAAGATGAAAAAGGGAACCCATCACAAACAATTTCTAATATTATAACTACATATTTACTTAGTATAGTTATTTGTATTAATCCGATTTCGGCTGGAATTAATTCGTTAATTCTTTTTACTTCAAAGTAAAATTTATTTTTTTTTTAAATTAAAGAAATATTTTATTAAAGTTCTGAATATAGAAATGCTTTCAAAAAAGCTTTTGGTATTAAACAACAATCAAATGCAGTCGTCCCTATTGGACCTTATTTTAAAAATCAACAAACTTAGAATTAATTGATTCTTAAAGAATTTAAAAGAAAAATTAAATCTTAAACATAATTTTATCATTTATACATACATACATACATCTTTATTTCCAATTTACATCCAATTATATTTACTAATAGTACATTAATTATTATACTAAGATGAACTTTTATTAAGTAATTTTTAAATTTTCAGCTGGCAAGGGTGGACGCAATTGAAAAAAATTTTCTGCAGCAGCAATCCGCAAGTCAAAAAAAAACACGCAATTTCACGCAAGACGCATCCGCAATTGCGTCCAGTCCTGGACCCAAGCCGAACCCCAGTCTTTTTTTCAACATGAAATCCGAAACTTGATCCGAAGAAACCACCGACCCATAAATAATATCTGCAATTATTTTGTCTATTTTCAGACTTATTAGCTACCTCATATTCTTGTATAATTACACCCTCCAGCGTGAGTGTATTCGAGCACACACAGTCTTAAGGATTAATTTACGATCCTCTGTTATTTTTGTTTCGATCAGATCGTAACTGAACTGATGATCATTTATTATCAAAAATACTATCATTTTTATATAAAATAATCAAATTATAAAATCGTATAAAATCATTCTTTTTCATCATTCATATTTTTGAATTTCCATATTTTGAATTTTGCTGTACCAAAATAGTTACTGGCGTTACTTTCTGAGTTTTTGTTTTAATTTTAAATACTTTTTGTATTAAAAATTCTCTGTATGGACGCATTGTGTAAATGCTCGCCAATGGATTTAATAGGGGTAACCAATGACTTAAAAGTCCTTGAAACATAAAAAGTAAACTTTCTGTATTTAAATCTAAAAAATGTGGAGCAACACTGCTAATGAATGTGTTTGTAGACATCAAAATTAACGGGAAACTAGCCTAAATAATTAGAAAATTAAAAAAATTTTTACAACAGTTGCGTAGTGACGTTTGCGGACAAACTCACTAAAATATACATTTGCACATAAGGACAACCACTAGGCGTAAGATAAAAAATTTGTGGCATATAAGCGTGAATCCTACTATTTATTTATGGTATAATTAGAGTTGTCGATTCTGAACCGAACGAAGATTCGACATTGCTCATCCCTAAAAATTTTTGGCTTGGTTTCGGATATCCGAAGAATTTCCAGGAACCGACAACCCTAGTTATAATATACCTAAAAAGCTTTGTGGATGTAAGCTTTGTGTAAGCAATGTGGATGTCCGTAAATGTCGCTTTACCTTATCATAACTAATTTTAAAATATTACCAAAATTATAAGTGTTTTAATTAATTGTTTATTCAATTCTTTCATTTTTTGTGTTAAACTTGAATGAATATGCACAAAGCGAACCATTTTAACCCCACAAAAGATTACAATGACATAACAAATAATCTGAAGAATTTGGTAAGAATAATTCCAATAAATGACTAAATCCATTGCCTTAAAAAATATTTTTTATTTAATTTACTAAAATCCCCTTCCACTTCCTTTATCTTTGATTAAAATTATAGAGGTCAATGGTGCAAAAAGTTAGCTTATGCAGAGGCGGTTCGAATTTCCGATTTCCAATGTATTTCCCTTCCGATCTACGAAATTTTGGAAAAATTTCCAAAATTTTTCCTGCACCTTCGTCATTTTTGATCCACCTCTGATCTTACGAATCCACTCTTTTTTATTTATTTATACGACAATCACAGGTACAAACTTGTACAATTTTGTACACTTTTTATTGTCTACCTTTTAATTAATTAACCCCTACCATTATGCACCATTGACCATCTTTGTACTATACTTCTTCAAAAAAAGGAGAAAGGAGGAGAGAAACCCGGTTATACCTTTTATGATTATTATTTAAAAAAACAAACATTAAATGAATATGTAACAGCAATATATTTTTCTGCTGATTCTCGGTCCATAAAATAAGAAAAAAAGGAAATATCAAGATTTTGTTTATTTAGCTGATCTTTAGCAACCATAAAGAACCAGCTAATTGCAAGCAATAGACTAGCAATAAAAGGTATTGTCGCTAGATATGTATAACGAAGAATGTTGATAGTAATTCGGCTTTAAAATAATTTTTAGAATACTAATTAATAGAGTCCGGATTTTTATTGAAATAAAATCGCAAAATATGGCCATAAAATATTGAAATAAATGGGCGAAATATTGACAAAAAATGCCAAAAAAAAGTAAAATATTGAAATAAATTATGGTTTATTTAGTGCCAAAACTTAAAAAAATTTGAAATTTAACAAATAAAAACTGTTTTTGTGCTGCTATAGGGAGCTAGCCGATATTTCAAGACAGCATTATATTTTATTCACAATCAAAAATAAAAAATGCTTAAATTAACAAAAAGAGATGGGCCAAAATAGTGATGTGACATTTTATGGGCTTTGCTTAATCCGGCATTTTTGAGGGACATTTTGGGATATTTTGGGTATGGGAAATCATTTGTGTGCCTTTATAGGGGTTTTTGTTACGTGGGATCCTTATAAATTTTTTTATTAAAGTATCTAATATTGTCGTGAGACGGAGAATGTTTCGGGAACAATTTGCAGAAAAGAAACGCCAGTGGTGGATAATAGCCAGAATTACACTTTTCAGTGCCGCAGGCGAAAATTTTGAAAATTTTTGAGGTCAAACTGCCAAATTTTTTCACTTTTTTCCGAAGAATTTATGAAAATTACAAAAGTTTGGCAAAAATTTGCAAAAATGTTGAAATAATTTGTAAAAAGTGCCAAATATTGAAATAACGGGAAAATTGGCAAAATATTGAAATATATTGAAATACAGCTTTGTTCAGAATTATAGAATCGAAAAACTAATAGCATATTTGGGCTTCTCTCGACAAACTGTGTTTGCAAAAAAACATTTTATTTCAATAAAATCCGGACTCTACTAATTAACTCACTATAGGTCAATCTAGGATGAGTAATTTTGCCCTACATATGATTGAGGTAGCGATTTTCTCTTCTACATGTGATTGAGGCAAAGGGTGGCGGTTTCTGGTATTCGGAACCGAAAAAACCTCGGGTATCAGGAAATTTTTGTTTCGGCTATCGGTTTCAGTTCCGGATACCCGAAAATTTCCCAGGAACCGCCAACCTTAATTGAGGCCCGACTACATGTTAAATAAGTAAATATACCAATTAAGCCCCAGGTATCGATAAAGAAACTGTACAGCAATTCCATTAACATCTAATGTATTCAAAAAATACCAGATAGCAAAAATATAAATTTGTATTAAAGGAACTTCTTCAAAAAAAGAAGAAAAATATCCTTGGAAAAGCATAACACAAAAACCACTTGGTTGGAAGCTTAGTACCTAAAAAATTTAATGAATAAGAATTATCCTACATATGTATGTATTATAAATTTAGACCAGACAGGATCAACGTTATCGAGATTTTGATTCTCGTACGACCCTCAAGCCCTGTTTTAATTATAAATTAGGGTTGTTGGCGACCTGTTATTAACCGGTACCTCCGGTTTTCGGTTAATCTAAATTTTAGAAATCCGGTTTTCTGTTTTGAGTTTTAGGCAAATACCGGTTTTATTTTGCGGGAATTTTAAATAAAATCACTCATTTTCACGAATTTCTGGTTTTCTGTTTTTAAAATTTTCTAAAAATGGTTAATTTCCAGCAAAAAGTTTCAAAAATTCTGGTTTTCAAACCGGTTGCTAACAACCATATTATAAATTTATTTATTTATTCGTAAAATTTATTTATTTATTCGCTTGAGGGTCGTACGAGAATCAAAATCTCGATAACGTTGATCCTGTCTGGTCTAAATTTATAATACATACATATGTAGGATAATTCGTAATTTTTCGTAATTGCAATTGCTTTTTATTACTCGTAAAAATCGAGTTAACAGTCCTGTTATAGTACCAAAGTTCACAGAAAAGAAATAAACGAAAAAAGATTCCATCGCTTTACCGAATCCTAAACAAATTTCTGCTTGATTCCATACCGACAAGTTTTATTTGACTAATCTGATAATTTTTAAGAAGTTTCCCTATTTCCCCAAAATTCCATAATTTCTAAAAAAAATTTACAGGCTGTCCAAATATTGTAACAATTAAAAGAGCAATATCAATCACACAAGTTTGTAACAAAATTCGACTGTGAATTCTCATTTCTTTTGGTGTTTTTTTAATAATTAAATAAATAAGTCCAATATTTGCTATTAGACCTATTGGAGGACATAAACGAGAGTGCCAATAATGGATTTTGTCAAAACAACAAAAAACCTTATTTTGTGTTGTCATTTAATATTTAGAAATATTTTTTAATTTCTATTCAAAATAAAATATTATTAACATAACAATTTAACAAAAATAAAATTTTATTTAATTAATATATCAACCTCGATTTTACGACACCCCGACGTTAAAAACATTAGTGTTTATAATTGTATGGATGGTAACAATTTATAGTAGTCCCCAGAGGTGGGTCGGAATTCCGATTTCCGGCGTTTTTTTCTTCCGATTTCCAAAAAAATTTTGATTTCCGATTTCCGAGTTCCGACCTTTGAGCCACTTCAGATTTCCGGCTCTTTCGATTTCCGACACCTCTGACAGTTCCGACCCATGGTAGTCCCCATTGGCCAACCAAACTTAAAATATATACATTAAATTGGAGTTTAACTTATTGTGGATTGTACGCAAGTCCAAGATCCGTTTCTAAAATAACTTTATCTAAGATACTATGTTTTTGCTTAATTTTATTTGGAAATGTTTAAAATATAAAATTTCTTTTTCTAAATTTTTTAAATTTTGTCTAGATTAAATTGGAAATAAGTAAAAATTAGAGAATAATCTCAAAACTTGTTAACACCAAATTGAATGTTAATGTTAAAAATTAAAAACTATATAAATATTAACGTTTTTTCTTTTAAATAAAAAAATTAAATTATGTACCTATGTATTCATAAAACTGACAATTTTAATTTAAAATTCCTAGTTTATCTAAATTAAATTATTAAAAAAGAAAAAAAAATTGGTTATTTAATAATTCTATATAATTTTATAAAATTTAATTATAGCTAATGTTAAAGAAAATTTAAATTTCCGTCAAAAACAATTAAATATTTTTTAAAATTAAAAAAAGAATTATAATTAAATTATTTAAATAAAAATTGTTTATATTTAATTTTTAATTTAATTTATACTTTATATAGAAAAGTTAAGTTGGTCTGTGACTTTTGAGCCACGAAATTTTTGCCGCAGAAACTATAAAATAAAAAAAGATCAACATGAGGGCTGTTTGCCAAATCTCTCGCGTGGCGCGCAATATCACAGACGCCAATCGCTCAAATTTTTAAAACACGAAAAACCCAACATGCCTGAAATCGGACAAAAATGAAAACTAAACGCCAAGATTTTAAGGTAAATATAAAGGCCAATAAACCAAAATTCATCCTTTTTTAGTCACTAAGGCAAAAATTCTGGAAGTCCAGGTATCAGTAACTATAAATATATCAGTAAACCTCATTTATATGTATAAAATACAAGCGAGTTCTAATTGAAAAGGGTTAGCGTATTGTAAAAATTTGAGCAAGTCTGATATCTTGCGCGCGACGTGAAAGATTTGGCGCACATCCCTTTTGTTGATCTTTTTTACTGATAGGTTCTGCGGCGCAAATTTCGCGGCAGAAAAGACTTGGATCAAACTGAGTTTGGTGTCATTCGACTCAGCTCGACAAACTCTTTGGAATAAGCTATTTGTATGATTGAATGTTTTGACCAAGAATGAGGTGGCCGCTCCTATGGTTTTAAATTTTCTGGAACTTGTATCTCGGTCCCGACCAGACGTGGGCGAAACGTTTCGTTTCGTTTCGTTGTTTCGTATGTTTCGTATGATTTTTACTGTTTCGTTGTATAACTAAATCATTTATAATTATATTGTATAACTAACTATTTATATATTGTATAACTAAATCATTAATAATAACTAAATCATTTATAAGTCATAGTCGACTAATAACGTATTTGAGGTCGAATAATTTCGAAATAAATGCAGTTTTGAAAATTTTTTGAATATTAAAATGTTTCGTTTTGTTTCGTTTCGTTTCGTAAGATTTTGGTTGTTTCGTTTCGTTTCGTTAACGAAACGATTTTTAAAAAATTTTGTTTCGTTTCGTTTCGTCAGAAAAAAATTTTGAGTTTCGCCCAGGTCTGGTCCCGACATTAAACACTTTTCTATTAACTTTTCTATGAAGCTTGGTGTAGCAAAAAACAGGAACAAACTTAATATTATATAATGTTTTAGTAACATTTGTTAATCTGCTATCACTCATTTGGCGCACATCCCTATCTGCTACCACTCACTCATTCACTTATCACTCACTCTTTTGAATCTCTGATTATGGCAAAAAATTGCCTCGCATCTTGCGATAAAGAATAGCATTGAGGATGAAGAGACTTGATTTCTTTCCTTTCTCTGACTGTTTACTTACAACAAGACATAATTTTACATTAACTCCCCTTCCTTTGACTTTTTATAATTTAATATTCATTTATAATTGATTTTATATTCACATATGTATATACAAGATAAAAATTCTTGGCCAAAATTTACCATTTATAAAAAAATTTAAAAAATTTTAATGTTAAAAAAGCCGTTTTTAATATTAAAGTTAATTCTGTTGATTTATGTTAATCAAATATGGAGTGACCAAATTTTGGAGAAACTTGATGAGTTAACAAAGAAGAGTGTTATAAAATTGTTAAACAAAGCTAAAATGTGTATTGACCCAGAAAGTTGTGGAAATCAACTTTTGAATGGGTTGGCTTTTTACATTGACCGTTCTCGATTTAAAGGAATTCTTTCATTTTGTAATGAAGAGGGAAAACAAATAAAGGATCCAATCAGGGTGAGTCTTAAAATATTAAAAAATAACTTTTAATATATCAAAAAGTATATCCCACATATCGGCCGGTCTCTAGGTGTGTGGGCATAACATGCTTCGGCTGAAAAGGATTTTCCTTAAAATTCCCCTCGTTAACACGACTGTATTTATAAATTAAGGGAATTATTGAAAATAATATGACTGATAAAAATGTAATTAAACATCTCAAACGTTATATTAAATGTGTTGATAAATTCTTCATACAAATTGATAATCAAGAAGAAACTTCCCAATATGAAGGATTATTTTATTTGGATAAATTAGAAGGACAAGAACCTCTGAAAATTAATGAAAATTACAAAATCTTTTTGCGATCCTTTATGCTTACTAGACCTTTGTATATAGCAGAAATAATTCATAATGCTATTCAAAAGTTGGACATACAAACATTTTTGGGGATTGTGGGCACACAAAAAAGGGAGGAATTGAAATTGGCAATGAAAATAATGAAGTTGTTAAATCCTGCTTCCGAATCTGGATTTAAAAGACTTGTTAAAGAGCAAAATATTTTTGATCCAGTAAAGCTGAATGGGTTGTTGAATTGGTATTTTAATCCGGAATGCTACAAGAAACCAGTAATTAGTAGTCAGGTATTTAGAAAAAGAACATGAAGCAGAATCTCTATATAACGACGCCCAACAGTCTTAGATTCCTTCAAACATCACTTCAATCCCACAGTGTGCTTCAGCCTAATTTAAACATCCTTTGTCATTTTTCTTCTAACGCTAGCAAAATTCAGCCCGAATGATGTCTTTATATCGAGATTCCATTATCTATTTTACAAAATAATTTAATATTTAGACAAACGAGAGTATCAACTTCACTGATTGGCATCCATTTTTTGAATATAACAACTATTCAAAGAATGATTCGAGTCTTGATTACTACATTGAACTTATTGAAAATAAAGAGAAAATACGTGATTTCTTTATTTCCCAGTTCAAAAGTTCTTTAAATAATCTGGATTTAAATCTTTTAATCAGAACAATAATCCTTTCATATAGAGTTGGAGAGGAGCAATTAACAGATTTTATGGGGGAAGAGGAAAAGATTGAATTAGAGGGAAAAATTGGCAATATTTATTTTGATCAAACTGAGTGGAGTGTTAATGCATTTAGAAATTCAATTAAATGTTTGATAAATCTTGGTAGGTTATATACGTGTTAAAGCTGATCTCATGGGAGTAAGAGAGAGAGGATTGATGATCCGGAAAGACGACCTTCTAGCAGTTGTTGCTAGGCATAACCACAGTGCTCTACTGACAAAGTTATAGGGGCGATACTTTTAGACCCTCGCTAGTAAAGTCCTAAATATTTGGCTGAATTTTCCTTATATCGATACATGTTATTTTTTTTAAGTTCATCCACGAAAATAGGATAATTTAGGTACAACATGATATGGAATAGCTCATTGTAGAATGAGCCCTGATAAGAGTCACAACTGAAAGTGCCCTAATACATACTTATTCTTTTGAATATAACAATAATTTATCCCTAAAAACTAAATATTTTTCTTAATTTTACAGAAAATCCTTCACAAACACAATCTTATGATGACTTCGTATTAAATTTTGGAACAGAAATAAAAATATTTATAAATCTTTTAACAAATAAAGAACGTCGATACGAGTTTGATGTTTCTGTTGATTCTGAAAATGATCAGAGATTGTTACTTGAAGTTGGCTTTGATGGGTTAAAGAATGATCAAGATATAGTCCCCAAGTCTCATTTCTTGTCTCAAATGTTAAAGAAGCTCAGTCAAGATATTCTTGGCCGTTTGGACTCTGTTTTTCGTGAAATGTGAATTTAATATATAATATTTTAATGTGGAAATTAATTAAGACTTTTATGATTCAAAACCAAGAATGCATCTTAGGATCAAGACCGAAGAAACCCCATGAAAAATCTTGGTTTCAAAGTTTAGTGTAGGGTAGCGAGAGTTCGAGGCCTCGCCGAGGCCGAGGTCCTCGCCTATTTTCTAATCTTGGTCTTGGAATGGCCCTGCTTGGTTCCTTTAAATCCATTTCATCTCCATGGTTCTTCGACATCTGTCTTAATCTGCTGTACCAAATGATCAAATATTTTCAAAGCAAATATTTAAAAAAATTTATCACAGCCTTTGAAATTATTTAGCCAAAAATATGAGTTATCTGATCTACATATATTGGGTCTCCTACTGGAACTGAATAGTTTAGTGTTTTGAATGTCCCTAGAAATCCAGTTTATTAATTTTGCCTGGTAATATTAGCTTTAGGAGGACCTTATCTATTAATAATTCTTAGTATAATTAATTGTATAATTACCGAGTTTAAATTAAAGGTTAAAAAACGGGCAACAGTCTGAACATGACATAGTAAATGAAAGTTTTTCACTTTTTATAAAAGCCAATTATTATGCATTGGCATTATTGTGTTTTAAAAATTATTCTATTTTTACATGGTGTAATTATGAGATTTTGACGCTCTAAAATTCTTAAAATATTTTTAATTTGAACACTAAAGGGTTAAAAATGGAAGAAATCTTGCTTCATAGCCTTCAAAATTTTTCAAAATTTTCGCCTGCGGCGCAAAAAATAGAAGAAATCTGACTTAAGGACACCCAAAATTTGCTAAATTTTTGAAAAAAAGGGCTTTGAGATTAAGAGAAATATCAGGAGATTAAAATTTGAAAAGTTCGGCGGAAAAGATAAAAAGTTCCATGTAAGAAGATGGAAAATGTATGAAAAAATGTGAGTTTCGGGTAGCTTGAACCATCATGGAAGAAATATTTCTCCTTGCACTCCAAAAAACTCAAAAATTTCGTCTGCGGCGTAGAAAATGGATGAAATTGGAGGATTTATAGCTTCGAAGCCTTCCAAGATTCTCTAATTATCACATACAACGCTTAAAATTTAAAAATAGATGACCTGGGCTTCAAAAATCATAAAAATTTTAGATTTTTTCCTTTTTTCTCAAGTACGAGTAAGTACGAGTTACGAGGTACGAGGTCAAAAATAGGGGTGGTACGAGGTACGAGTACGAGTACGAGCAAAAAATAGGGGTGGTACGAGGTACGAGTACGAGGCCAAAAAAGAGGTGGTACGATTTGGTCACTTTACCTTTAGCTTTTACGTCAAATTATTTAGTCCGAGAATTAAAATAAAATAAATTAATTTTAAAGACAATTCCAATTTCAAATTTATATTTGAACAAATTGATTTCCAAACTACACCAATCTACACTTCCAACAATTCCAAACAAATTAACCAAAAAGAATTGAGCTTTTTTAAAAGTTTAATTAATTCAATTGAAAAGAAGGCCAACAAAAGTAAAAATAAAATGTTCAAAAAAAGTTGGAGTGTATTTAATCCTTTATTTAATGAAATTATTAATTTAATGTTTGAAATAACGACAGTTATAAATCAAAATAATGAAGAAAATAAAAATAAAATATTTATTCCAATTTATTTTTATGGGAGGAAACATGCCAAAATATTTTTAATTAAATTAACACGAATTCTAAAAAATTGGAATAATCAAAAATTAAATCCAGAAAAAATTAAAAACGAATTTAAAGGCATATTTAATTTAATAAATAAATTTATTAAAATAATTAAATGGGGGAAAGGAGGAAATAATAGAGAAATTATGTTACAAAAAATAATTATTGAGGGTCAAGAAATTAATGATTCCGAAGAAATTCTAAATTTGATAAATATAAATTTAGAAGAAGCAAAAAAAGCTGTATTATCAGAACATTTGGAAAAAAATATTTCAAATTTTAACAAAAATTTAAACAATGTGGTCTGGTCAGATTTTAATGAAGTAAGCAAAAATTCAGATTTTGATACTACCCGGGAAAGGTGCTTCACTGAGAATAGGGGGAGGTCCACGTTCCTTATCCCCGTAAATTTAGGCACACTCTAGTATTTTCTTAGTTTAACCATCTCATGAGGAAAGCTATCTAGGCTGTCTGTTATACTCCATTATAAAGTAACTTTATCTATCCCATGTGTATAAGGGAACGAGCTGACATAAAATCTGAAATCGGGATGGCAGGATCTCCGGTGGAAAAAAAATTGAAATAAATCGAAATCCGACTTTAGGGGTAAACAAAATAATAAGTAAAAAGTTCTCATTTTTAAATAAATAAATAAAAATCCGAAAATAATAATAAAATAATAAATTAATATTATTTTATTAAAATAAGTTTTATTTTAAATCATTTTTAAGTATATGAAAGTTAAATTTTATAAATTTAACTAAATTTTATAGAGCAATATAAATCAAAATATAAATATGCTTCGTCGTAAAAAGCGTTCACCACGAAGTAATAGAAGATTAGCAAGAGCAATAATGAAAGCTTTATTTACTGATGAGACAATAAAAAAAATGGATATTTTGATTGGTTATTTAGTAGTTGGATTTTCTTATCTCATGTTTATTGCCATCCCTATATTTGCTTACATATATGAAATTCACTGCGCTGTTCCTGAATTCACTTGGTTTAGAAATCGTTGGCCATTTGGAGGACAAGAACAGAATAATGGAGGAAATAACGGGGGAAATAATGGTGGAGGTGGGAATAATGGAGGAGGTGGAAATAATGGGGGAAATAATGGAGGAGGTGGAAATAACGGGGGGAATAATGGAGGAAATCAATTCGGTCAACCAATACAACCACAAATACAGCCACAACAAATGCGCCCACAAATACAGCCACAACAAATGCGGCCACAAATACGACCTCAAAATATGATTGCCCAACCTCGTCCACAACATAACTTGCCTCAACATCGTCCACCAATACCATGGTTTCAACATCGGCCACAACAACAGGCCTCTTCATTTGCCGATATTAGTTATATGTACTAATATGCCGTCTTCTTCTGATCCATTGTCTTTTTATAATCGAAGCTACAATCCACGACCAGGACATCAATCTGGCTTTCAGCCATATATATTTGACGATTCTGATGATGAAAGTATTATTTCAGATGGACATTCACCATCCCCAGAATATTCTTTCCAAGATCGTAAACGTCGTTCTGTTTCTTTAATGAACCAGAATCGTAAAGGAAACAAGAAAAGTGGAGAAATTATTAATTCTGATAATTCAAACAAGGATGTCAGTAAAAATCGAGGTATAAAGTTAAAAAATAGTGCCAAGAAAATCGCAAAGGACAAAACAGAACAACAAAAATTGTATAAAAAATTTAAAGGTTTCATGATTAAAAATCTTTGAAATTTATTACAAATTATCAAAATTATTAAGGGCTGTGTTTGTCCACTTTGATAAAGTCTAGAAAAACTATGGGAATTATTTTCTCTATATAATTCTAAATTAAAAAGATTTTAGCAAAAGTTTAGCCACTAGTATGTTTTTGTAACGTAAAATAACTCCACGAAATTTGTTCACTAGTTTTCGGGAAGTTGGTCACCGCAAGATTTTGGTCTCCAAGTACAAACAAATTAATAAAAAATTACCGACTATTTCAAAAAAATATACATATAAAAATATTTTCTTGGAATAATAAAAAGATTAATTTTTAAGATGGAAAAGGAACATGTTCATCGACATTTGATGGAAATTTCTTAAATTTTTTGACTATTGGTGCAGAATCTGGAAATAAAAATCCTTCCTTTCCTTTAATTTCTCCAAAAAATTTTGAGAAGGGAAATCGCAAAAAAAGAGACATTCTTGAAGCTCTTCGTCAAGCATGGATAAATTGCGGTCAATGGTTGGGAAATATTTTTGCTTTAATCAACCTTATAGCATATTTCGGTATATTTATTTATCTTTGTTATATTCTCTAAAATACTTTCCTATATCTTTTATTTTTCTTTAACTTTGTTTCTTTTTATATTTAAAATGGGATTTACATAGTAAGAGTTTGGCAAAATCGAACGTGCGGTCGGTTTTTTAAAACAGCTTTCTGTCGGTTTTCATAATTTTCTTCGGACTTGGTTTCGTATCGTTAAAGTTCGGGTTTTGGTCGGTCAGTACCGAGGTTAAGAGGGCGAAGGATATCAAGAGATTCAGATGATTTTGGGAAGATCGAGGGATTGTGAGAGTTTAAGAGTGATATTGAAATTATTTTCAACGACTTGTGATGTATAAATCCTCAAATAAATGGTCAAATTGTGGAGAAAATTATTTTTGGTTACATAAAACAGGGAAATCTCTGCATAATAACGAGTGTTTTAGTCATATTTGACTCCAGATTAGGTTTTTATAATTCGAGACTCGTCCTCTAATCATAGGATGAGACATTTTTCTTTCTACAGTCAAAAGTTTGGACTCTAGAGTTGTTGTTATATCGAGATTTCACTGTAACGTAAATTCAATTTCGTAAAAAATAAATTTGAAACAGGGAGGTATGCCATTATATGAGGATTTAAATTATTTTTATGTACCTATATTTTTTTATTTTCTAATTTCTTAACATATTTTAATGTTTTAGTCGCGATTTAAAAAAATTATTAGTCTATAGCACAGTCAACCGATACATTTTTTTTATTTTTTTATTATTTTAAAAACTCTAATAGAAGCTCTATGCTTCCATTTTTCAATCTTTTTATGTGGGTTTAACTTAAACATTTTCTGAAATTGGATGTTTTCGGTATCGGGATTGATAACGGCTCGGTATTTTATATTTTTAAAAACCATTGTTTTGAGTAGAGTTGAGCGGTATCGTTATTCCGAGAAAAAATCGCTATCGGTATTTTGGAATGATGCGCTTTATCGGGATTGGCCAAAATCGGTATCTGCATTCCCAATCTTTTGCTAATAACGCAATCCCAATACCGATCGGTATCGGGATTGATAACGACTCGGTACCGGTATCAGAAAAATAGGTATCGGGATTCAAAAAACCGGTATAATACCGCCCGTTACCGGTCGGGATCCGATACCGCTCACCCCTAGTTTTGAGTGTCTGAGGATGTATAGATGCTAAAAATTTATTTTTTATTAACGAATGTTTGTTTATTTTATTTTTAGTAGATAAAATTGGGTTTAGATTTTGTTTTAAATTTTCAACAATTAAAAAATCTGCTCATTATTTTATAGACTTTACAGAGTCATTTCATTTTATAACAAATTCTCATTTCATGACTAATTTAGAAGATTTTTTGTTGGTCATACACTTTCATATAAATTTAAAAAATATATAACTTAGAAAGTCCTTTATTCAAAAAGTTAGAAAATACATTAGTAGACAAAATTTATAATGTATTTATTTATCGTTCTTAAGCCGGCGTTTTTCGAGAATAAATATCTTTACTCTTTTTGTAAGCAAACAGAACATTTCTACCATCCATTTTAAGCATGTCCAACCATATTCGAAACTTGATTCTGATTTGTTTTAAATAACCCGAAAAATTTTCTAAGAAGATTTTTTGTGTCATTCCGAACAGTCTTGTTTAATGTTAAATAAATTACTGGTGGGAAACCTACAAAATTTAAACAAATATTTAAATTTGCGTTTTTAAAAACAAAAAGTTTTATTTAAACATTAACATACCGTGGATATGTAACCTTAAAAAGTAAATTAAAATTATATAAACAAATTTAATTGATAACCAAGAAAAATGTGCAATCATCAATGGAATAATTCCGAGATCTGCATGATTCATATTGTAAGCATAGGTAATACCCTCTGATGTATTTAACAATGAAATGATAAATACTTGGATAAAAACCTTCAAAATTTTAATTTACCGTATATGCTCAAATAATTACCCTGGGTAATTATTGTTTCGATCCCTCGCTGGAGGGGGTAATTAATCGAGAGGATGTGCTAAATTTGGGGTATATCTCAATAAATCAAGGAGGAAATCCATTTATTTTTTGATATTGATTCTTATAATGTTTCAATAATTTAAATTGACAATGATTTATTCAATATTTTTAAAATTAGATAGGGAAAGGGAAGGGGTAATTATTAAAGAGGGTAATTATTTGAGAGAGGGTAATTATTCGAGCATTTACGGTAATTAGAAATTGTTTTTGCCTAATTACAATTATGGAAACCGATAAGAGCAACAAAATAAAATTGTCGGGTAGTTGGAAATTGTCGGATATTCGGATCCGGATATCCGAACAGAAAATTTTGAGTATCCGGCCTTTCTCGGATCCGGATATCCGAATCCAACAACCCTACAACAAAGGCTGTTAAATGAGAGATTATTTAGTTTCAATTGCCTCTTTTTGATTAACTTCTAGAAAAAATCTTCGAGTTAAAAGTTGTATTTTTTTAAAGTACTCTTTAAAATGAGGACGACTATCAATATGTATATCGATAATATTTTTGATTAAATTTTTCTAAAATAGTTTTTGGGGTTATTAAAAGTTTTTTTTATTTCGCACCCCAAGAATTTCATAATTTTTGGGGTGTTAAACATCTGTCCTCAATTTTAAGCAATTTTCTTTCAATTTTTAAAAATTTTGATTTTTAATTTGCCAAATTAGTGGGTAATATGTACACAAATTTTGTATACAGACGTAATCCAGTATTTACTCGTCGAGGAGTAATTATGGAGGGGGTAATTATTTGAGGGATGTTATTATTGAGTAAATTGAGTATTTAATTTTAACCATTTTCTCTTCTTTCGAAATACTGTTAATTAATTCCCGGGCTTTGAAGAAGACAAAAAGTGAAAAAATTAAATAAATTAAAGGAGAACCAATAGCCAACATTGTGTTGTGTATAGTAAATATTTTTAAATCGTCTTTAAACTAGAAATAAATTGAAATTATATAAATTAATTAATTTAAAATTAACTAATTCCGTTCTAAAATCTTCATATCCAATTAAAGGATCGAAGAAAAATTCAAAATTTATTCCATTAAAAATATAAGGATGTTGGAATAAAAGCCAGTAAAGTCCATATAAATTACATAAAATAATCCAGATATAGACACGATTGTTGTGAAAAAATATTTTTGAAATTTTTGGAAATGCTATTTCGAGACAACGATTAATTCCCAAAATCTAAAGAAAAATTAAATAATTTTTTATAATGTAAAACCAAATCAGCAGAACATTCAGCAGCCCATAAATCTAAATTATAGGTATATTAACAAATATATTTTGATTATAAAATTTTGGGGAGTAATCCGAATGAAATTCTTGATCTAAGATATATCTAAAATATTACTCAGTAAAATATGACCCGAAAAAATAGTAAAATATAAACCGAAATTAATCGAAATTTCGTTTTTTTCGAGCTTTGAAGCACTCTACTCAGCAGAGCATTATAAAAATTATTTTGTATAGTCTTGCTGTCCCAAACCCGTTACGGACTTTCGAGATTCAGGTCTGCAGGGGATGTGTTTTCAATTAAGTCTTCAGTTATTCAAAATTAGCTCAATTGACACCCTAAAATCAACTTACATAAACAAAAACACCCAGCAATGTATGTAAAAATCGGGGAAGTACAGTAAACAACGCCGTTTAAACTAGAAATTCCAACTGCAAATGTTGGTATCCAAAGCATGCATAGATCCAAAATTGAAAGATAAATTAAAAGTTTATAACACGGATTTTTGTTTCTATTTTTGCAAAAAGAGTAAAGACAAGGAAAATATAAAGGCTTAAATTTTAAATTTAAAATAATTTTTTCCTAAATTCCCTACATAATATATAAATCCGAGTATTATACAAATAATTGCAGCTATTGGATATCTTCTTTTTTCAAATGGGATGACATCAACATTTATTCCCGTACAATTGTAAATTATGTCAAATTCATTGCGATTCCATAAAATATATTCCATTTTTTAATTAGTACTAAATTATAATTTTTAGTTAAAGAGACATATGTATGTATTGGGATTGTGTTAACAAAAATAGCTTTAAGCGTATCTACGT